CTATTGGCCAATATTTTGTTAAGGATTTTTGAATCTATGTTCATTAGGGATATTGGTCTGTAATTCTCAATGCCTGTGGGGTCTTTGCCCTGTTTGGGTATCAAAGTAATGCTGGCTACGTAAAATGTGTTTGGGAGTTTGCCATCCTCTTCTATATTATGGAATACTTTGTGGAGGATCGGTGTCAATGCTTCCCTGAATGTTTGGTTGAACTCTGCCATGTAGCCATCTGGCCTTGGGGCTTTTTTTGTTTGTAGATTTTTAATTATTGTATCTATTTCCTCTTTAGCTATGGGTTTGTTAAGGTCATTGATCTGTGTCTGAGATAATTTAGGGAGAGACTGTTTTTCCAAGTATTTATCCATGTCTTCTATGTTGCTGAGTTCATTAGAATACAGACTTTTATAGTATTTTGTGATGATCCTTTCAATCTCATTGGGGTCTGTTATTGCCCCTGCTTCATCCCTCATCATGGCTATTGATTTTTGCTCCTTTCTATCCTCGGTAAGCTTTGCTAGAGAAGTGTCAATTTTGTTAATTCTTTCGTAGAACCAGCTTTTAGCTGCATTTATCTTTTGTATTGTTCTCTTGTCTACCCACTGGTTTAATTCTGCCCTCATTTTAATTATTTCTTTTCTCTTGCTATTTGAGTGGTGGTTCTGCTAACTCTGTTCTAGTTGTTGGAGGTTTTGTGTTAGCATATCTGCCATGCGCCGCTCTTCTTTTTTCATATAGGCATTTAATGATGTCAAGCTACCTCTTATAACTGCCTCCGCAGTGTCCCATAAGTTATGGTACATTGTGTTCTCTCGTTCTCATTGGTTTCTAGAAACTTCCTGATATCCACTCTAATCTGGGCCTGTACCCATTCGTGTCACAGGAGATCATTGTTCACCCTCCAATTGATTGCCCTTACTTTCCTGGATATCCTCTTATTAATCTCCAGCTTTATGGCACGATGATCTGAAAAAGATGTCTGGATAATATCTATGTGTTTGAATTTGCTCAGGCTGGACTTGTGTCCCAGCATGTGGTCTATTCTTGAAAAAGATCCATGTGGACTAGAAAAGAATGTGAAACCCTTTGCGTTTGGATGGAAAGCTCTATAAATGTCTATCAGGCTCTGTTGCCTAATTACATTGTTTAGCTCTATGGCATCTTTGCTGAGCTTCTTTCCCAGTGATCTGTCCTTCTCTGATAGCGGAGTGTTAAAGTCGCCTACTATGATTGTTGAGTCCGTGATTTCTTTTTTCATCTTTTTAATAGTTTGTTTGATGAACTTTGCAGCACCATTGTTGGGAGCATAGATATTCAATATGCGAATTGCTTCTTGGTTTATTGAACCTTTGAGCATTATGTAGTGTCCCTCGTCTCATTTTATGGTTTGGATCTTGAAGTCAATATTGTCAGAGATTAAGATAGCCACCCCTGCCTTTTTGGAGTTAGGATGCGCTTGGTAAACTTTCTGCCATCCCTTTATTCTTAGCATATTCTTCTCTGTGTGCTTAAGATGTGTCTCTTGCAGGCAACAGATTGATGGATTATGTTTTCTGAGCCCGTCCTCCAGCCTTTTTCTTTTAATGTACGAATTGAGTCCATTGGAGTTCAGTGTTATTATCACTATCTGTGGGTTCATAGTTGTCATACCATGTTTTGTGGTTTGGGTCTTTACCTATCTCCCCTCATATCAGTGTGCTGTGTTTGAGTGGAGATTTTCTATGTTGTCTTCTTTTCCATCTGAAATCCTTTTGTCCTAATAATTGTTGCTGGCATGTTGGCTACTAGATGGAGCTGGGCTATATGGTGATCTCCTGTTTGTTCTTGGTGGAGGTTGATCCTCTGGCCATAGTGAGTCAGCCAGTATCTTCCGCAGGCTCGGGTGTTTTGCAGCATATTCTTTGAGTTTTTCCTTGTCCTGGAAGACCCTTATCTCACCATCCATCTTAATGGATAACTTGGCAGGTTACAGGATTCTGGGTGAGGCACTTTTTTTCCTTCAGCTTTTGGAAGATGTTGCTCCATTCTCTCCTCCTCTTCATGGTTTCAGCTGATAGGTCTGAGCACATTCTTACCTGTGCTGCTTTGTATGTGATTGTCTTCCTTTCTCTTGCTGCTCGTAAAAAATTTTTTTTTCCTCGAAGTTGGATATTTTTACTATTATATGCCTTGGTGTGTTCTTCTTGGGGTCTAGTATAGCTGGGGTCCTTTCTGCTTCCTGTATGAGTGCCTGGTTCTCCCTTATTAGGGTGGGAAAGTTTTCTTCCAGGAATTCCTTTGCTATCTTGATTGTTGACTTGTATGTTGTGTTGAGTTCAGGGAGACCGATAATACGAAGATTATTCCTATTCATAGCATCTGTCATTGATCTCAGGCTATCTTCTGTTTCTTTAATTTTTTAATCTGACTGTCTTTCTTGGTTGCTTAGTTCTCTTTGAGTGTCCTCGAGGTCACTGATAATGGTTCTATGCCTCTCAAGCCTAATCGTAAATTCTGTGACCTTGTATCTGCTACCTCCTCTGTTATCTCCTGCAGTTCCCTTTGGTGGGTGGACTTCATCCCCTCTATTGTGGACTTCATCCCCTCTATTGTGGACTTCATCTCCTCTATTATTGTATCCTTGTTCTGGGTTGCTTCCTTCAGCTCCTTTATTACTGCCAGTAGACTTCTGAAGATTTCCTTCTGTGGCAGATCTGTATCTTCTTTTTCTATGAGAGATGTTTGCTCTGCGACTATGTTTTGTCTCTCTATTTTTTTGTTGGGAGTGATGTGGTCTGTTGATTTTTCCTCTATCCTTTCATAGGCCCCATGCTTCTGGGAGGCCAGGGGGCCCTTATCTGTGTTATTGTTAAGGATTCTCTCAGGACCTACTCTAAGGATGTGTCAGACTGCTATGTAGGTAGAGTTGTCCGTAGGCTTGGTGACCAGCAGTGGTGGGATGTTTCAGCGACTGGAGTGGGGGATGTGGCCTCTATGAGTGCCTCTTGGTTGCTTTGACCTGGTCTGTCAGGGTACCCTTAGCAGCCCCCCCACACACTTTTTGTTATTTAGTATTAAAAAGGAAAAAGTTTAACATTTTTAAATATTAAAAAAAAATTTTTAATTGGGGGGAGGAAAAAGAAAAAGAATGGAGAGGGAGAAGGAAGGAGAAGAAGCTATAAAAGAGGATAGAAGAGAAGTGATAATAGTGAGAGTGAGAAAATAAAGAGATAGAAGGAATACCTATAGGAGAGGGGCAGAAGAGAAGTATTAGCAATAGTGAAAAAGGAGGAAGAAATAAGGGAGTGAAGAAAGTACAGAAAGTAAAAGAGAAAAAAGAGGAAATTAGCACGAGATAAAATGTATATATGTATATATTTAGATCCCCCCCCACCCCGCCTTCTTTTCCCTCCAAGTTCTAGCAATGCCTAATAGAAGGCAGAGGTGGGCGAGGCCTCCCTGCCTCGGGATGTGGTGCTGAGCTGGGCTCCGGAGCAGGTCTGTGTGAGGGGAAATTGCTCTTCCGATCGACAAGCTCTCCGAGGCTCTCGGAGGCCACGCTGAGGGAGGCTCTGGACAGCGCTAAGCCGCCTGCACTGCCTGGGAAAGACTGGGGCCACAAGGGGTGTGGTGAGGCGCAGGCCGCAATGCCTGCCTCCTGCAGAGGGCTGGGGCAGGCTTGGAGCTGGTGCTGGGGATCCCGCGGGGCACTGGAGAGATGGGCACCCGTGGAGCATGCAGACAGCTCCCTCAGGTGCCGGAGAGCTGATTCACAGGTTCCCTAGCCGGCGGGCGGGCGTTTATCGCTAGATCAGCTGGCCATGAGCGGCACAGGCTTCTCGGCGATGTGTTCCTCGCTGATCGGACAGCGGCGGCTCTGGCGGAGAGCAGCCAGCCATGGGGATCGCGCTCTGCCCTGTGGGGGCACGCCGCGTGACAGGCTCGGAGCCGCTGGGCGTGTGGAATCCCCAGTGCCCCAGAGCAGGCAAGAACCCCGCTGGCAGTGCGCTCAGCGGGCAGCGGCCCCCACTGTTCCACGGCAGGCGGGTTCCCCGCTCCTCCGGGCTCCATGCACAGACACAGCGCCACGCGGAGAGAAGTGGGCTTGGCACCCCCTCCCGGTCCAGGAATGGCATGGGAGCTGGGACACCAGGGCGGGCGAGCCGCAAATGCAGCACTGTTGGAGAGATCCCAGGCAGCAGTGGGGGTGGATTGGCTCCCGTGAGCGTCGCCCAGTTAGTACCTGGTAGATTGGAGTCAGTTACCCAGGGCTTAGATGAATGGAGGGAGGGACACGGGCTCAGGGTCATATCGCTGCCACATGGGGAGAGGGGACCTGTGGGGAGGAGAAGCTACTCTTCTAGTGGGGTCCCGTGAGTGGGCAACTGCTGTCTTGGAGGTCCCGCCACTTCTGTGCATGTCTCCGCAGAGCAGGCAAGCAACTCTGGGCGCAGGTTCCTGGTCTGGGGATGGAGTGGGGCTAGAGCGAGTCTAGGACGTGGTCGCAGGGGCTTAGGGACCCGTGATGTTCCACGATTCGGGACCTGGATCACCGAGGCCCGGCTCAGGACATATGTGTGGGGTGGGGGCCGGATGTTGGCCCCAGGGGGATGTCTCACTCACTTACCACTCGGCTACCTGGACACCGAACCCGCCTTGTTCGAGAGAGCTCTCAGAGACAGTGGGTCCCCTGGTCCGCCATCTTCCCGGAAGTCTGGGTATTTATTTTAAGTATTAACCTTTTGGGCTCTATTTGGTTTTAAATATTCTCTCTCTCTCTCTGTTTTCCTATTGGGGTTTATCTCTAATGTAGTTTGTCATTGTGGGTAGCCTCCTTGAATCTTTGTGATGTATTTTTCTGTTTTTCAGTATATGAAACCCAGGGTTGATAAACCTGTAGAGACAACAATTACAATCAGGGTTCCTGGAGGATAAAAGGGTCATACGGTGGAGGGGGATGATAGAAAAGGAATGCTGATATCAGGAAGTTTAAGAAGTTACAAAAAATAAAACTGATTGTAGTACCAATTGTATAATAATGCTTGATGTGATTGAACTATATAATGGTAGGATTTCTAGATTTCCCAATAAAATGATTTATATAAACAAAGAAAGTATTAAATGTTTTTAATCATTGGATATCCTTATTCAATCTTTATTACACATCCGGTATGTAATAAATGGAACTTATTTTCTTAAAATAATATTGTTAATTTTTAATTCCAGTACAAATATTGATACCAATTTGTGTATATGGAATATGAAGTTAAAGTATCTAATTGACCTACATTCAAATATTACTTTCTTTTTTTATGAACCATCCAAAATGACTCTGCAGCCACCCTTCAGCAGTTGATTTCTGAAACAATGGTTCGATGGGCTCAGGAGTCTGTCATTGAAGATGCTGAGTTGGTGCGGGCCATGTTTGTGCTGCTGCATCGACAATATGATGGCATTGGGGCTTTGGTTCGGGCTCTGCCCAAGACATATACCATAAATGGAATCTCTGTGGAGGATACCATCAATTTGCTGGCTTCCCTTGGTCAGATTCGCTCTCTGCTGAGTGTCAGAATGGGCAAAGAAGAAGAAAAGCTTATGATTCGTGGATTGGGGTAAATTATTTAACTCTAATAATTTTCTCTTCTATGTTTCTTTTGTTTACCCCCCAAAACAATGAAGTTATTAAGGCAAATACAATATCTAGATTATATTGAATTAGATTATTTTTCTACAGCTGATGTAGTAAAGCTAAATAAGAAATTAATTCTCAGTTGCAAAGCATGACAAATATTAAAACTAAAAGCTAATGTAGCCATGACAGGCAGGGCTTATCTTTAATTATTATTTTTTTTTAAAACCTACAATTATTAGTAATTTATAATAATGTATGTAATACAGGTTGATAATTCCTTTTTATCTGTGTGTATGAGGGGGGATCCCCCCCAATTGAAATTTTTTTAAGCTATGAATTTATTTTTTTTTTTTACAAAACAGCAAACAGCCCTATCACCTTCAAAGTACACTCCATTGCACTTAATATATTTGTCAAATCTGTGATTAATTTTCATTATTCAAAGTCATCTTTTTGGATGACTCGATTTTTTCTTCACCTCCTCTATGTCAAATCACTGTCTTTTCATTTCCTTCTTTATTTTTGGAAACAAAAAGAAGTTGCCTGGAGCAAGGTCAAGTGAGTAAGGTGTGTGGGACAAGAAAGGCATACTGGTTTTTGCCCAAAACTGGTGCACTGAGATGGCTGTGCACCATGCTGGTAAAAGTAATCCCCCATCTGCCACAAACCAGGCCTTTTTTGTTGCACACTATTAAACACAATATTTTCAGTATCTCTAAATAAAAAGCTTGAATAACAGTCTGACCTAGTGGAATGAACTCCAAATACACCCTCACATAAAAAACCTAATGAGTGTCATCTTGATCTTTGATTTCACTTGGCAAGCTTTTTTGGGTGAGATGACAATGGCATCTTCTAGTGGCTTGATTGATGTTTGTTTTGGGGATCATAAGAATAGAACTTATCTTCTCACCAGTAATGACCTTGGGAAAAATATAAAAAGTCTGGGTCGCTTCAAAGCTGAGGTTCAAAGCATAGCATGTTTCTAGTTGATGCTGTTTTTCCTGGTCAGTCAAAACCTGAGGCAGATTTCCCAGTGACGTTGCTCATTCCCAAATCTTTCCTTAAAGTTTGTTAATCTGAGATAGTCCAGATAACTGCCCTATTTCTTCAGTGGTCCATCATCCATCTTCAAGCAGAAGTGCATTAATTTTGTCAACATTTTCTTCTGATCGGAAAGTTTATGGATGTACAGAATGAGGTTTGTAGTTAATAGACATTTAACCTTTTTTGAAAGGAGAAAATCACTCATACACGAGTTTTTCTCATAGCACCATCCTGGTAAGCTGTGTTCAACATCACAACAGTTTCTGCGGCATTTTTCCTGAGTAGAAAACAAACTTTCATAAGCCGCATGCTGTTCTTTTAAAACAGCCATCACAAATAAACAAGGTTCAAGCGAAAATGCTTTTACAAAAATATTCATTGTGACCAGTCACAATGATGCCACTAGGTGCACTAACTCAGAGTGAGTTGTTCAATGTTTTCCTAGCATGAAAAAATGTGTACTACATAAGTTTGGCCAAGCAGTGCTTTTTTCTGTTGTTGCTCTTATTTTTTATTTTTTTTTGGGGGGGGGAGAGGAAGGGGAAGGCACCCCTTCGTATCTTGGAGGATTTTGCCAGTAGGAAGGAACAAGTTTTCCTATATCTGCTTGGGCCATGGAAAAAGAAGGAAAAAAAAACAAAAAGTGAATCTTAGAATTCAAATCATGAACTCATACTCCCTATCAATTTAATGACTATGCATAATTTAAAGACTCCCAAGCTGAGATTCTACTAAAAAAATTAGCCTAGAGGATGATTTCTCATCTCAGAATCACAGTGAAATATTTTAAGGAGTGAAATCTTGCTACGAGAGGCTAGCTTTCCATCAGAAATTGTGGAACCATCCACCATTAATAAGAATTAGTAGATGTAACATTCCAAGTTCTGAAGAAAAATGAATATTAAGTTGCAATGTGCTACCCAACTGAGAATGCAACTTACAGTGAAGACTGTAGATGATATGAAGTTTAGAGTTTATATCCCATATTCAAGACTGGAGGTTTTTCTAAAATTCTCATAATAAAGGCATGGTTTAGGAAAAAGAAAATGAATCCTGATGGCAAAATAAAATGTGATAAAATTTAAGTGTGTCCTCTTGATATATATGAGGGGGAATTCAAGCAATCATCAATAAATATGAATACTTTTAAGATATAAGAATAAGATGAAATTAAATTCCCAGTCAGAATTAAAACTTAAATCTTAATTAACCAAATGAAAATAACTTTGTTAAAAAATGAAGAGCCCGTATTTCTTAAATGAACACAAATAACAGTCTTTAGTATAAGAAACATTATGTTATATATAGTATATAAACCCTTCAGTAGCAACAAGACACAAAATGATTATGAAAAAAGTATAGAAAGGGAGAATGTTACCCAAGCCATAGTATTTTCAGTTGCCGCATGTGCATGTGAAATTTGGACATTGAATAAGACAGATTGATGCATCTGAATTATGGTGCTGATGAAGAATTTTGAAAGTATCATGGACTGCCAAGAGAATAAACGTAACGGACATGGAAGTGAATATAATTACAACACTCATTTGAAACAAGGATGGCAAGACTGTTGTCTCACATATTATGAAGAGACTAGGCTCTGGAGGAGGACAACATGCTTGGTAAATTGAGTGACAGTGAAAAAGAGGAAGACGCTGTACAAGATCGATTTACATGGAGGCCACAACCCTGGGCTCAGACATAAGGACAATTGTGAGGATGGCACAGAAGTTGGCAGTATTTCATCCCTTCTGATTCAGAACCTATTCATTGGCCCCTAACAACAACAGCAGCACTTAATTTTTTATTAAAATATTAATTATACAAACCATTCTAGTCCACTTTTCTATATAGCTAGTGGAGCTAAAATTTAGTATCCTATGAAAAAATGAAATAGGAGAATGACTCAATTATTAAATTAAACTGAAAATAAGGCTTTGTTTCCTCATATTTTAGGTTCCTGCTGTAGTTTTAACAGTGAAATGTCTCACGAAGAGACATATAAATGTGTACATATCTATCTATCTATCTATCTATCTATCTATCTATCTATCTATCTATCTATCTACCTATCTATATATATATTAATTTATGTCAAAAGATCTATGCATACAACAGTTCTCCTTTCTCTGGGACTGTGGTTCTCAACCTTCCTCACGCAGTGACCCTTTAATACAATTCCTCAGGTTGTGGGGACCCCATACATATCTGAATGTGGGCGGACCCTCCTGGAGACCAATTGAGGAGTGGTGTCTCGGTTCCTAAGACCAGTGGAAATATGGTCTTAGGCGACCTTTGTGAAAGGGTCGACCCCCAAAGGGGTCGCGACCCCACGTTAAGAACCGCTGCTCTAGAATAATAATAGTATTGCTAAATCATGTTATTTCTACTCATGCTGTTTTACAGACATGCCATACCATTGTATTCACAGTGCTTGTACCATTTCAGAGTACAACTAACAGAATTATATAATATTTTTGTTAAACTATTAGTGTTTTTAAAATTTGCTTGCTTTGTTTCAAATATGGCATAATTATTTCTAAAAGACAGACGTCTCAGACAAATTTATGTTTAAAAATTTCTCTCACTGCTGTGCTTTATTTGATATCTGACTTGTCCTTTTTAGGGATATAATGAATAATAAAGTGTTTTACCAGCACCCAAATCTGATGCGGGCTCTTGGAATGCATGAGACTGTAATGGAAGTCATGGTGAATGTTCTTGGTGGTGGTGAGTCCAAGGTAAAGAATTGCCTCTTATTCTTAGGATCTTGTCTTAGTCTGGTTTCTCTTTGTCAGGAGACAGAGATCCAGAGAGATGACACTGGGACTGGCTCATATGTTTTGGGGAGACTGGCATGCTCAAATGAGCAGTGGTAGCATGGTGAGTTACATGCTGGGCCCCTAAGTGCAGATGTTTGAAACTTTCTGCTAGAGAAAGGTGAGGCTTTCTACTACTGTGTTTACACTCTCACAAATCTGTAAGGGAATTGGATTCAACTCAATGGCAGTGAGACAAATTCAGTCTTTAAGGCAGCTGACAATCTGTTGACCCTTAAAGGCTTGTGTTGCAAGATACTTATTTCAGAGCACTGAAAATTCAGTCAAGAGTGAAGTAAAAGCTGTGTCAAAATGTCTGTCTTCTGGACACGCAGAACACTTTTTAGGAAGACTCCCTTTTCAATTGATGGATCGGTTGTATTACAGTAGTTAAAAAAATTTTTTTTGTTTTACTTTTGGGTCATAATCTGCTCTGCCAAAAGCCAACTAATATAATCCACATAATTATTCCATAAAGGCAATTAATAGAGTTTATTTTAAATGAGTATAACTTAAAGCTCTTCAAAATAAAATTAATTGTCATATAATAAGTGACCACATAAATCTGTGCAATATCATGACCTCTGGCTACAAAATATATTTCAATGTTTTTTTTGTGTGTGTTTTAAAGTGTTATTTTTCAAAATGTAGTGTGGTCAAACACTAATCTTGTTGCCCTCAAGGAATAGTGACAAGAAATAAATTAGCTGACCTTAGGTAAGGCAGATTACTTTCCAAAAGTAATAAAGTAGAGCAATATGTATACTCCGTCCATATTTCTCATGTTCAACTTACCAGTTAATCTGATTTTTAAGATATTTATATAATACGTTCTGGTAAAGATGGACTTCAGGGTATATGGTAACTCTGGTGTAAGAGTTTGATGTGAGCTAGCTGGTAGCCTTTCCAGTCAGGCAGCCATGTAGGCAAGGAGTGTCCTAATCAGTGATGTTCTAAATCTCCAGAGAATCACCTCAGTAATTAAGAGCATAGTAAAGATACCCTTTTATACATTTTGACCATTGAATGAGTGGGTGGCCTAATTAACATGCTTAGATCTAACTAAGGCTGCCTGTTGAAATCTACCCAGAGATACCTCAGAAGAGAAGTCTATTGACATAATTCTGGAAAATCAGCCTATCTTACACAATTCTCTGACATACTTCAGTCACCAGCAGTCAGAGTCAACTCCATTACAACTGATTGGTTAAGTAATGAAGTTGTGTTAGTTTTTTTTTTTTTTCATATTTTATCTCATTGAATCCTTTCTCTACCCACACCATATTATTCCACGTTTACAAAACAGAATCAAAGAGATTATACAATTTCCCAAGGAATGAGATTGAATTCTCAAGGGAGATGTGTTCCTGACAGGAATCGCAATTCAGTCTGCTTGCTCCTAAACTAGATTTATGCCATCAGTGGGATTTTATAGAATAATTCCGGATCCAGCCCACTAATTATAATATGTTATCCTTGATTTTCAGCGGCTCAAGATCTATGAAAGCCATAGTCTGAGTATTTTAATATCTTCCATATCTGATGAGAATTAATTGGTAATATGATTTGGACATTAACTTTTGAACTCAATGTCACAAAGATCATTTGCTCAAACTGTTAACTAAAATGCTTTTTATACAGGAAATCACTTTTCCCAAGATGGTGGCCAACTGTTGCCGTTTTCTGTGTTATTTCTGCCGTATAAGTAGACAGAATCAAAAAGCTATGTTTGATCATCTTAGTTATTTACTGGAAAATAGCAGTGTTGGTCTTGGTAAGTAAAAGAATCTTATGTTGCATTTAGAAACTTAGTTTAACTTTAAAGATTAAATTAATTCAGTACATACTGCATTTAGAAATTTTAAATGGAATCATGTTCTTATATTGAATTCTCTAGTTGCAGCACAATCCCAATTTTATTTCACTTTTTTTCAACAGCCTCTCCAGCCATGAGAGGGTCTACACCTCTGGATGTGGCTGCAGCCTCAGTGATGGATAATAATGAACTTGCCTTAGCTTTGCGTGAACCAGATTTGGAAAAGGTGAGCAATAATACTGCTCATGTATTTGTGCAAGTTATGCTTCTGTGTAGTTATCTTCTAGATTATTTCAATCTCTGAAAATGGTTATTTTACTGGACTCCTAGTTGAAATGTTGGCAGTTTTACCACACCTTGAGATGCCTTAGAAGACATGCCTGGCTACCTTGTTTGTAAAATCATGTCTTGTAAATAGAGCATTTCTGCTCTGCACACTTAGGGTAGCCATGAGTTAGAATTAACTCCTTGATAATTCAGAAGAACAATAGCAACAAAGTTATAAAGAACAGGAACTTTGGGATAATTTATTTTCTCTTAAAATATGTATTTCTTATGTTAACTTGAGTTAGGTTATCAACTTGTTTATGAAATTGGTAGTTAAGTGGTAGAATTCTCACCTTCTATGTGGGAAACTTGGGATCTATTCCCACAATCCACTTCATTCACAGCCATTATCTATCCATCAGTAGAGTTTTGTGTGTTGCTGTGGTGCCGAGCAGGTTTCAGCAGTTTCTAGACTCAGGTCAATTAAGGAGAAAGGCTTGAAGATATACTTCTCAAACGCAAGCTGTGAAGACTTTTTGAGTCACTATGGCTTGAAACCCATCGTGGGTTGAGGCTGGATGGTGCAGGGTTTCATTTATTGGTACATGAGTTGATTGCTAACTCAACAGCAGTTACTAACAGCAAATTTCTTCACCTATGTTCTTGTGTGCTTTTGTCTTGCCACAATATTTGCTTCAGTAGTATATTTTCAATTTTCTAAATGATTATTTTACCATCACATATACACAGCTCATCTTAAAAATAAGTTTATGTATTTAAAAACAAAGTGCTAATAAAATGCTATATATTATACATTTTATATATATTTGCCAAAATATAGATTATTTTCCCACAACTGAAATTACATTCAAAGTCTCCCCATGATTTTACCCCTGCGTCTTTAAAATCTATTCTTATATTAGCACTTAGAACTTTTCTATGAAAATGATCATGTCAGTCATCTGCTCAGGACTCTCTAAAACCACCCATCTCACTCATTAAAAACTGCAGTTGTTACAATAGCCCCTACACCATCTGATGCCATTCTGAGTCTGCTTCTGTTTCCTACGAATCTCTCTCACCTCTCTTTGTTGCAGCCACACTTTGCTCCCTGCTCCCGAAGCACATTCCTTTATACATGCTGTTTCCCCTATCTTCATATTTTCTCCAGTTGTGTTCTTTTTTCAGAAATAGCTCTCATCACTGTTCAGAAACCACCTTCTTGATCAGACCGCACTGCCTTTGAGCCAGTTCTGATACCTAGCAACCTCGTGTACAAGATTGCCCAGTACCTTGTGATACCATTTCAGTTATGTTTGAGCCCATTGTTGTAGGCATTTTATCAGTCCAGCACATTGAAGCTGGCATTTTAACTCACCTTTTTCTGGTCCTCTACTTTGCCAAGCATGGTGTGTTTTTGCAGGGGCACATCTATCCAGCTAAAATGCCCAAGGAAGTCTTTCCATACTCTCTTCTCTTGAGAATTCTGGCTCTACGTCTTCCAAGACAGATTTGTTAGCTGTTCTGGAATGTCATGGTACTTTCAATATTCTGCCACAGCATCATAATTCAAATGCATCAATTCTTCTCTAGTCTGCTTTAATCATTGTCCATATTTCACATACATTATATGGCAATTCAAAATACCTTAGCATGAGTCAGAAGTATCATAGCCCTCAAAGTAACATATTTGCTCTTTAGCATTTTAAAGAAGTATTTTGTGTCAGATCTTACCAACACAATATGTCACTTGAGTTTTCTCTCTCTTTTTTAATTTAACATCACTTTATTCGGGGATGTTACAGCCTTTATAACAATTCATACATAAATTGCCTCAAACACATTTGAACATGTTGCCATCATCATTTTCAAAGTATTTTCTTTATGCTTGAGCCCGTGTTATCAACTCCTCTTTTTTCTGTCCCTCCCCCACACCCCCACCCTTGTGGACCATTGATAATTATTATTATTTTCATGTCTTATACCATTCACTGTCTCACTTTGCCATGTTTCTGTTGTTCAACCCCCAGGGGCGGGTGGTGGTGGTGGGAATACATCGATGATTATAGTTTGGCTCTCGGTTTCTCCTCCTTCTCCCCTGACCTCCCCCCTACCTTACGGTATCACTATTCCCATTACTGGTACTGACGGATTTATCTCTTCTGGATCCCAAGAACAGGCAATCGAGAGTCGAGATCTCTTATCTGTACCAGTGTACATGCTCCAGTGTAACCAGATTTGAAAGGTAGAACTGGGGTCGTGATAGTGGGGAGCTGGAAGCATTAAAAAACTGGAGGAATGTTGTGTGTTCTGTCCGTGCCTTGGTGCATCCTGGAAGTCTCGTTCTAGAATGCCTGATGAGGTTTGACCAAGTCCAGGATAACCAAGGGAAAATACTGAGGGTCAAATGAAGGTCAAAATAACTGGAACAGGAGGAAAGTAAAAAGAAATAGAGGAAAGAACTAGGAGGCAAACGACATTTATAGAGGTATAAATATAGGCATGCACCCATGTAAGTATAGTAACATATAAAGATAGAGACATAGGTCCATGTACATATATTTAAATGTTAAGTATTAAGGTAGCAGCACTTGGTTCTCTACTCAAGTACTTCCTCAAAGCAAGACTATTTTGTTCTAATAACCTGGCATTTTGTGATGCTCACCTTCCCAACACGATCACCGAAGTCAAAATGGTGCATAATAAAATGCCCGGCTAATAAAAGATATAGCATCTGGGTCTTAAAGGCTTAAAGTTGCAAGCAGTCATCTAGCAAGGAAGCAACAAAGCCCACATTGAAGAAGCACACCAGCCTGTGTGATCATAGGTGTTATTCAGGTATTAGGTTATCATAAGACCCCAAACAAACAAATATATGGATGCAAATGATAGGGGTTGGAAAAAAACAAATTGCCCATCTGTAGACAATTTGACATTCCATCACTCATGACTGCTGCTTCCATGAGTATTGATTGTGGATCCAAGTAAAATGAAATCCTTGACAATTTCCATCTTTCTCCATCTATCATGAAGTTGTTTATTGGTTCATTTGTAAAGATTTTTATTTTCTTCACATTGAAATATAAGCCACAGTAAAAGCTATCATATTTGATCTTCATCAGTGTTTCAAGTCCACTTGGTTTTCAGCAAGCAAGGCTGTGTCATCTCCATGTCAGAGGTTGTTAACGAGCCTTCTTCCAATCCTAATGCCAAATTCTTTTCATACAGCTCAGCTTCTCAGATTACTTGCTTACCATACAGATTGAGTAATGTAGTGAAATATACAAGCCTTATCCATATCTTTACTGGTTTTGAAACATGTATCCCTCGAATCTGTTCAAATGACTGCCTCTTGGCCTAGTATGTACAGATTCTGCATGAGCACAACTAAGTGTTCTCAAGTTTCCATGCTTCTCAATTCATAGTTTGTTACAATCCTTACAATATAATGCCTTGCAGTCAGCGAAACACAAGTAAACATCTTTTGATTATTCTCTGCTTTCAGTCAAGATCCATCAGATATCAACAATGACATCCCTGTTGCACCTCCTCTGCTCAATTTGTCTTGAATTTCTGGCAACTTCCACTCTATAAATGGCTTCAACCATTAAAAAATTATTTTCAGCAAAATTTCACTTCCTTGTGATATTAATGATATAGTTTGATACTTTTTGCATTCTCCTGGTTCATATTTCTTTGGACCAGGTACAAATGTGGATCTCTTGCATTTGGTTGTCCACAGAACTGCCTTCAAAGTTCTGGGCAGAGACAAGGCTAGCCTCAATTTGGCTGCATCAAGTTGTTGAGATATTTCAAATAGTATTCTGGCAGTTTCTGAGACTTTGCTTTATATTTTATTTTATTTGCTAATGGATTCAGTGCACCTTGTACTTCTTCCTTCCAGCTTGACCATACAGAACCTCTTGAAATGTTTAAATGTCAACCAATTCATTCTGGTACAGTGAATACAGTGTATTAATTCCATCTTCTTTTGATCTTTTCACCACATCATTTAATTCTTTGCCCATAGACGCCATCAATATTGCAATTTAAGGCTTGAATTTTTTAATCATTTCTTTCAACTTTAGATGTGCTGAGCATATTCTTCCTGTTGGGCCTTTTTAGCTCCAGATCTTTGCAAATTACATTATAAAACTTTACTTTCTTCTCCTCTAGCTGCCTTTAGAACTTTCAGTCTTCACCATTCCTTCCAGTTGCTTTAGCTACTAAAAGTTCATAAGCAATATTAGAGTCCCTCTGACACTCAGTTGAGCCTTTTTATTCTTTCCTATCTTTTTCATTCCTACCTTTGACTTTCTTCATGCATACATTTCTTGATGTCACCCCACAGTTTATTGGGTCTTTGTCATTAGTGTCCAATGCTTCAGTTCTTCTCTTGAGATGCTCTCAAAATTTTGGTGGGATATACTAAAAGATGAATTCTAGCTCTAGTAGATTTGTTTTAATTTTCCTCAGCTTCAACTATGTGTACTTGCATATGAATAACTGTGGTCTGGCCCAGTCAGCACCTGATCTTACTTTTGCTATTGAGCTTCTCCATCATCTCTCCCCATTAATGTGGTTGATTTGATTTCTTGATGTTCCGTCCATCTGGTTATGTCCACTTGCACAATCACTATTTCTGTTCCTGGAAAAAAACTATTTGCAATGAAGAAATCATTGATCTTTTAAAATTCTATCATGCAGTTTCCACCATTGTTTCTATTACCCTGACCATATTTCCCAGGTACTGATCTTTTCTCTTTGTTTCCAACATATGCATTCCAATCAATAAAATTATCAATACAGCTTCATGACATGTTTGAGCAATTTCATATTGGAAAAGTTGATATAATTCTTCAATTTCTTCATCACTGGTGTTAGAGGTTGGTGTGTAAAGTTGAATAAGAGTTGTATTAACTGGTCTTCCTTCGAAGTATATAGATATGATCCTACAATAGACAGAATTACACCTCAAATAGATCTTGAAGTATCCTTTTGATGATGAATAGAACACCTTTTCTTTGAATTGGCAATTCAAAATTGCCACTATTAGACTAATTCTCATGATTTCACATTTAATATTCCACCTCATTTTTGACAACTTATAACTTCCTAGATTCATATTTCGTGTATTCCCCATGCTAGTTATGTGTGGATATTTGCAGATGTTTCTTCTCATTATTAGTCATTCTCAATTCCAGGTAAATTTCTCCAAAGTTTGTTCCATCAATGTCATTAAGGCTGCCTCTACTTTGAGGAGTAGTCTCTTCCTCAGTTACATTTTGAGTGCTTTCTACCCTATTGGGCACATTATCAGACATTGTCTTGCTACTAGTCATAATACTTTCAGTGGCTAATCCCTCAGAAATGGACAGCCCATTACTTCTTCCTGATTAACTCTCATTCTAGAAGGTCCACTAAAACCTGTTCACCATCGGTGACCCTACTAGTACTTGAAATATCAGTGGCTTAGCTTGCCACATCACAGCAACATGTAAGCCATCTCAGTATGGTTAACTGCTAGATGAGTAGTAGATATATAATTTTGCTATTTTTACATGTGTAATTTAGGATATTAACTGCATTCACATTTTTCTAATTTTCTTTTTCTCTATCATTCACTGCATTCTAATCAGTGACATTTATTTTCCCACTTCTACCATTTGTACCCATAAATAAACTTTAGTGTCTGCACAATTGTCTATTTTATTAGTCCATACAACTTGAATCATAAGTATTTGTCTTTTTGTGTCAAAGTTACATCACTCAGTATATGTTTTCAAGAATGATCAATGCCATTGTATTCATCAGAACTTAATTTCTGTTTATCACTAAATAATATTCCATTGTATGTAAGTATCAGGCTTTTTTATCCATTCATTTGTTGGTGGACATTTTGCTTGTTTCCATATTTTGCTATTGTGAGTTTGCTGCAATGAATTTGAGTGTACAAATCTCTCTTTTCAAATATTTTGAGTATATAAGTAAGGGTGGAATTCCTGAATATAGACATGTTGAAAGTTCAACGGGATTATTGTAGAGATATGGATCTCAAATAAAATGATATGAAAATTATGAATATTTTTATTTCATAGAGTTGGTTAATAAATATTTGTATTATGATTACACTTTTAAAAGAATTTCTAAATGTAAGGTTTTATTAACAGGAGTTAATTTGGATTATTATGAAATTAAAAATAATTTTAATCACTAAAAGGAATTTGTCTTAAAGTATCTCCTTTGAGAGTACATTTACCATATTTCAGGTAAACAACTATTGACTTCTCTCCCAAGCTCTTTTGCTTGTAATCTTCTTTGTAGGTAGTTCGATATTTGGCTGGTTGTGGACTCCAAAGCTGTCAGATGCTGGTATCTAATGGCTATCCAGACATTGGGTGGAATCCCGTTGAAGGAGAGAGATATCTTGACTTTCTTCGATTTGCTGTCTTCTGTAATGGTAGGACTTGATCGTTTTACTTCTTTTTGGTCATTATATAAACTTCATTAAATTCACTCACTGCCATTGAGTCGATTCTGTCTCACAGGTGTATTAAATAGGATTCATCTCAGTATTCTTATATGTAAGCGAATATTTAGTAATGAAACAGAATATTTTATAATCAGTATTTTACAATATTTATTTCATGCTTTTATTATTTAAATCAATATCTTAAAGTCCTTGAATTATTATAAATTTTATATTTCAGTTCTAATGATGGTTATCATAATATCCCTCATTACAAATTAATGATGAATACCTTCATATTGTATTTACTTGCTCTGAAATTTTCAAGCAAAAAAAAAAAGAAGAAAAGAAAAGAAATTTACTGTGTTCTGTATATGTAAAAGTAGTTATTCTTATTCAGCTTTAATTAGTACTCTAAGCTTGGCTTTAGATTGTTGTTTGTAAAAATAAAAACCGATGCCAACGTTTATTTGTTCAGAACTTCCATGTAATCAATATTTTGGTATTTTCTCCATTTAATTTTAGGTGAGAGTGTGGAAGAGAATGCAAATGTTGTCGTGAGATTGCTCATTCGGAGGCCTGAGTGCTTTGGTCCTGCTCTGCGTGGGGAAGGAGGCAATGGTCTTCTCGCTGCCATGGAAGAAGCCATAAAAATAGCCGAGGACCCTTCCAGAGATGGCCCCTCACCCATGAGTGGATCCAGTAAAACACTGTAAGTCTAGTGCACACACATTCATGAGAAGAAAAGTATAGTACTTGATATGAAAGTCTACAAAAATATAATTGACATTCTACCATTTGCAAAATAGCCCTTAAGACTCCAAACTCCATGCCAACTCTTAGTGACTCCTCTGTGGGTTTCCCAAACTGTAAATATTTACAGATAACCCAGGCTTTTTCCTGCGGTTGGTGGTTTAGAACTGCTGACAATATGAATTGCAGCCCAGGGTGTAACCACTGGTTACATCACCAGGACTGCTCCTAAGCATACAATATTTCTCACCTTGAAAATAGAATGTTTTAGACTTGGCAGAAAAGGTGGGATTTGTTGCTGGAACATATGCTATAAACAAAGAGCGAGCTGAGGAATATTGTATGGATTTATTGGAGAGCAATTGAGTTTTAAGGAGGAGATACATTTTTTTTTCACTTTTTTTTTTAACATTTTATTAGGGGCTCATTCAACTATTATGCCAATCCATACACACATCAATTGTGTAAAGCGCATTTGTACATCGTTTCTCAAAACATTTTCTCTCCACTTAAACCCCCGACATTAGGTCCTCATTTTTCCCCTCCCTCCCCTCTCCCCGCTCCCGCATGAGCCCTTGATAGTTTATAAATGGGTATTTTGTCATATCTTGCCCTGTCCGACGTCTCCCTTCATCCACTTTTTGGTTGTCTGCCCCCCAGGGAGGAGGTCACACACAGTTCCATGTAATCGGTTCCCTCTTTCCTACCCATTCTCCCTTTACCCTCCCTGTTTTGCCACTCACACCACTGGTCCTATAGGGCTCATCCGTCCTGGAAGGAGGAGATACATTTTGTGAATTTTTCCAGAAGCATATCAAAGTGATTAATTACAAATAACAGGAGATAATCTTACAACTTAGTCTAGAGTTGAATGAGAAATTAACATAGGATGAATTTGTATGATTCCCTCACACTTGAGGGAAGATGAAACCTTTATCAGTAACATAGAGAACTCCAGAAAAAGAATGAAAGGATGTTCTAAGTGTGAAAAGGAAAACACATGAAGTATAGTCATGTTCTTAATTTTCTTTATACTATGTGTTTTTAATATTTGACTCTACTGCCAATCAGGCATGCCACTTCCTGAGTCTTCAAGTTTTCCTGTTACCTATAGAGGTAATTGTTTGGCCAGGGCATCAGGAATCCATTCTACTAACCACAGGGACAGTTATGACACAGGCTTTAGTAAAGGAAACTTGCTAAGCAAAGAAGTAACAGAAGTCACACAGTTCTGCAGACTCTTGTTGAATACACCGGCATAGGGTGATGCACAAAGCAGGTCCAGGGTGCGGGACTGGAAGCACTCAAAAAACAAGCACATGCCCATCTCTACCTCTTTGAGATATTTGTTAGTTAGCCAAAGATCAGCTAGGGAGCCCTTTGTTTCTCTTTGGAGGACAAACAATACTCTGGCTCAGATCAGCTCTGAAACAGCCATGCATGCAGGAATGAGGGTGCCACCCAATTTTTCTTCAATCTTTCTTATTCAGTGTCTAGATTTCCCATGCATATGAGGTGATTGAACGTATCACAATATGAGTCAGGCCCACCTTACTGCTCAAAGTGACATCCTTGGCTTTTATGTGTAGTAGATTTACCCAATACAGTGTGGCATTTGATCTCTTGACTGTTACTTCCATGAGCATAGTGACTATAAGACAGAGTAAAACTGCCCCTTGGGTTTGCAAGACTTTTGATTTTTATAGTAGTAAACAGCCTCATACTTATCCTGTGGAGCAGCTGGTGGGTTCAAATCACTGATTTTCTATTTAGGCATCAGGGCATAGCCTACTATGCCACCAGAGCTCCTACTCAGTGCTATATGCAAACAAACAAACAAACAAACAAACAAACAAACAAACAAAGACCAGAAGAGAGTGAGTTTAAAGAATAGATAATTATTCTCTCTCAGTTCTGGAGTATGAAACATCAAATCAGAGTCTCAGCCATGGCAATTCTTTTTGTGAACTTCTAGTTTCTGGCATCTGCTAGTGATCTGTAATGTTTCTTTGCTTCTTGTAGATGCATCTGTGGCATCTTTCTCTGTGTAATTTACTTTTTTATAAGAAGTAATTAGGTTTAGGACCCATGGTATTCCAATGTGACTTTATTATATGACAAATGAAAAAACCTTATTTCCAAACAGGATAGAGGGATTAGAATGATAGCATTCTGGGAGGACACAATTTAATCCATAGCAGCTCAGAAGAGAGACATGTTAAATTTGGGGAATAAATGATAGGGCCTTATCTCTGCAGAAGGACATCATGCTTGTTAAAATAGAGGATAAACAAAAAAAGAGGAAGACCCTCAATGAAATTGATTGGACCTTGGCTGTAATACAGGGTCCCTCTGAGGCAGAAATGATTCCATGGCACTCAACCACAGTGGCAACAACAAAAGTAGTGGAGGTAGAATAGAGACAGATGAGCACATAAAAATGACATTTATAAAATAAAATAAAATATCCGTCACTTTCCAAAAGTTCTTTCTTACCGAAGGAAAAGAAGTATCAAACATTTAAAGAGGCAGTATACCCCCTAAACGGAGCCCTGGTGCTGTCATAGTTACGTGATGGGGTGCTAACCTTAAGGATAACAGTTGGAAACACTAGCTACTCAATTCTGACTCATAACAACTGTGTAGGACAAGGTAGAACTGCCCTTGTGGGTTTCAGAGACTCTAACTTCTTATGAGAGTAAAAAGACCAGTCTTTCTCTCTGGGAGTAGCTGGCCTTGTGTATAGCAGCCCAATGAGTAACCACTAGAGAATCAAAGCCTTAGAAACTCTGAGGACAATTTTACGCTGACCTACAGGGTCAGTATAGGAATCGACTCGGTGGCAGTGAGTTAATGAGTATGTATCCTAAACATAGAGAGTGGCATTGCCAGACTTCTTCACTGTATCTGTGAACCCTGCATATTAGTGTTATTTTACATTTTATGAAACTTGGTATAATTTGGGAGGTGTTTATTTGAGTTTGGGAGAGCTCAAAACGACTTTTGTGTAAATTAATGGCAATTGTTTCATCTATTTATGCCCTGTTCAATAGTTTGGGGATGAGGACTGTGCTATAAAAGCACCTAGTTACCCTTTCTATAAACATATGCTATCTACAAAATTAACTAAGCTTAATTCTTTTTGCTATTCTTTTGTAAATATACAATAACTAGAAAAAAGTAAAATATATCAAATTAGTAATAATTTTTCCCTTTTGAAGATATCTTAATTATTAAATTTCTAAAAATATGTTCCTGGCAAAAGAATGTGAAATCAAGTCTTTTACACATTGTGCTTTTTCTTTAAATATACTTAGATGTAAATAAAAACTATAAATATAAAGCACCAGATGAAAAGGAATGAAAATCTTAATAGCCCCTGTCCTATGATTATTGTGTAATAAATTTGAAATGTCACTTCATGATGCTGCTAACTTGTCATATTTTTGGAAAATTTTCCAAAAGTGATACAGAAGAAGAGGAAGATGACACCATCCACATGGGGAATGCAATCATGACCTTTTATTCAGCTTTGATTGACCTGTTGGGACGTTGTGCACCCGAGATGCACGTAAGTGACATGATACCTAGGATTTTGTTTTCCAAGTGTGTGCCTAGACATCAGTAGATCGCGGAAACCACACATTCAGAGCCAGCAATACTCATGCCCCATTAGAAACAGCCCAGAATACTGACTTAATTGGTAATGCCTCGACATGTCAGAGTGATTAATAAAATAGCCATGTATCTATATTGCTCTAACACTTCATAGGAGTCATTGTGGCATAGTGGTTAAACACTCAGCTGCTAACAAAAAGAGTTAGTGGTTGAAGCTTCCTTGTCCCCATGGGAGAGAAGATCTGATGAGTTCCTCTCAACAAGATTAGAGTTTAGCAAACCCCAGGGAGCATGTTTTCTTTATTCTGTAGGCTTGTTAGGATCTGAATTGGCTCTATGGCAAACAACATCACCAAGACCACTCTCTTCTCCCCACACTTTAAGAAGAAAAAGAGGTGCTTCCCTACATAATTCCCCCCTCATTTTAGTTCACACAGAAAGCAGCCATGAGTGCCAAGAACAATTTTCTTTATAAACCATTTGGTTTCCCTGAAAGCCCCCAGCTATGTGCTTGCCACTGGTATGGGAAGAAGTTGGAGGGAGAGAGACAATGGGGAAGCTTAAACTTTTTCACTATAAATCAGTGTTCTTGTTGTTGCTTTTTAAGTACTTTGAAAAATTGACATTGTAGTATGATGAATTGATACTTATTTTTACCTGTAATACCTTTTGATATTTTATACTTTATTTAGTATATTCCATTTGTTTGAAAGTTTTCATTTAAAAAAATGCTAGTCAGGATTCCTGAAGTTGATTTCGTGGCTTGTTAATGGGAAACAACCCAGTGATTAAAGTTGCACAGACATATGCTGTGTAGAAAGTTAGGAACTGCAGATACTGTTCACTGCTATGAGCATGGAGCGAGGATAACTCCTCGTGGATCTCTACTTTCTCTACCTGAGGCAGTATCTGGTTGTTTTGTGTTTGGTTTTGTCTCGGCCTGTGTCTTTCACGCGTGACACTCTTCTCAGGAAGAGAGAGGAATCACAGTCGATGCAGAACTGGAAAACTCGAACAACTTTTCCTTTTAGTAAACAGGAATTAATGAGAGTTAACAATTTACATGACGCTGGTGATTGCAGAAATAAAACTCACCAACTTTATGCATCCAATATTGATCCTTTTTATTATGAGGATCAAAAGGTCAAAGGAACTGTGGGGAAATTAAGCTAATGAGTGTGTTTTTTCTGTGTTCATGTCTATATTTAAATAGAAAAAAAGTGAATACATAAGGCATGGCCTTGACATTCTTGAAATCTATTCATCTCTAACAACTATCAGTTGATATCAGTAATTGTGTTTGTACTTGACACTGAGTGGCAGAAGAAACAGATGCCTGATCTGGGAGTCGACATACTATTAAAGATACACATTGAAAGGCTTCATTGAAATGTTATAACATGATATAGAGTTAGTTTATGAATAGTACTACAGTAAGTAGTCATTATGGTTATTTTACTAGACAGTGGTATTGTAGGATTCATGTTCACCACCTCTCTCCCATTTTTTTATGTGAACTTTTATGTTCACCAGTTCTCTCCTTTTTTTTTTTAATGTGAACTTCATTCCAAATTCTCAATATTTAATTAATTACAACACACACACACACACACACACAATGTTTTCCTCTCACATTTTAAACCATTCCTTGGTGCAGTTAGGTCTACAATTAAATTCTCATTACAAAACAAGAAAAAATGTAAATCAATCACCAATCAGTAGCTATACTTGCTCTAAAAAGAATTGTTTTTCCCATGTATGACCACAGTCAATGGTCTGCAGCCATATCTGACGTCTGACTTTCCTGTTGCAACAAGGCAGAGGCAGACATGACTCCAGGCTCCATTCCTTACCTTTTCTGACACCAGCGATTGCCCTCAAGACACTCTACTTCTATGCTAGGTTTGATAGTTCCTGCCAATGGCCACACGTAACTCACAGACTATTGGGGTTCATTCAGGGAGTTAATAGGACAGGAGCAGTAAATAATCAGGATAGATAAAGTCATTGGTCTGAAGCCAAACCTCTCGGCTCCTCATACCCTCAGTGATGTCCTCCCTTGCTCTCTCCTCTGTGGAATAGGAAGCCCTGCTGTTGCTCTACCTCACAGTCCTACGGTTGCAGCCGGGCTCCTCTGGCTCCAGCCCACAGTCTGCATGCCACTGGCTCTATTACCTCTGGGTTTGGCTCAAGTCACTCAGACAGAGATCTGGAATGTGTGCTTCTCATGGTCCTGGCCTTTCACCCTTTGTCCCTTTGTCTGAGATTGCTCTTATAAACCAAAGAATGACTTTGATGGATGTGAAGATTTTGTTGTTTAGCCTGCCACATCCCCAAGGAAAATGAAGAATGGTGTCTTAAATCACACCCTCTATTAACGTAGAGTTTAAAGATTTCCTTCCCCAGCAAAAAAAGACAAAAACAAACCCCCAAAGGTTGTAAACTTGGTTCACAGTTTCCTAAAATCAGGACTTAACCCCACCTTAATCCTGCCTATTCCTGTATCAGAGAATTCCCTCCACGATGGGATTATAGTCACAAGCATAGAGATTCCATGCATAATGGATTATGTCTAGAAGGGTTATCTCAATTACTTTTTTATCTTCTTCCTTTCAACTTGATTTTGCTTAGTATCATTTTGAATTAGTATAAAATGATTGCTTAATTATTCATGGGTCTTCCCTTTACATGTAACTAGAGAAAAATATGTATGGTGAGAAAAATTATTAGGCTGCCATTAAAAGAATGTCATTGTCCAGTTTTGCTTTTATTCCCACCCTCTCTAGCATCTGTGTGACCCAGAAATTTCAACTCAGAGGTCCTTTCTTGAATTCTCACTTACTAATTTCAGGGGAAAAATAAATACATATTTATTTGAAAGTTCAAATGGAAAAATATTTCAATTTGTCACGAGATATTTTAAAATTTTACTATGTCTTGCATTAATGAGTAATGTTACAGCTGCAAATGCCAACTTTATAGTATACTACTGTTTACATATATAACTAGGTCTTTTTCTGGGCCTTTCTTTTTGATATTGATCTTATTGTTTATTACTATATCAATAACTCTTGGTTTTGATGATTGTGACTTTTTATTATGATTTAATATTGGATTAATTTTAATGTTCCACTTTATAGAGTGTATTTTGTTATATGGTCTATAAAAATTTGAAGTATTTTTTGCTATGTATTTAAGTAGATTATAGGAAACTACGTTAGTAATTTTACCATTAACTTCAGATTCTAACTTTGGTCCATAAATGGAGTTTTATATTATGTAGATGTATTTATATGTAATTTTCAAGGGATTTATGTGATGATATACTGATCAGATTTTCAATATTATCTAAAACCTCAAAGATGTTTGAAAATAGACACTACGATGCATAGGCTCCCAAACATATTTGGCCTACCCTTGGCAATTAATAAAGTATAGGTATCGCTTTTGCAGCCCCATACATTGTTCTAGCACCTCCTCTCAGAGGGTGCTACCACCCACTTGGGGAAAACTACTAGCAGATAAACGAACTAGCCTAGGCTGAAATATGAGTTAGTTTATAGTGAAGTCAATAAAAACTCCATGGGCAAGTAAATATCTGCCTGTAAGCCAGAAACAACAGTTTCTGAAAGAGGTTTAATTTTCTATGCATACTTCTTAGCATGAAAATGATTTTAGACTCAGATTTCTGTACTTCACATTTTAATTACAACACTGATTTTACAAAATTATTTTAATTTTCCTTTATTTCCCTCTTGTTTAGTTGATCCATGCTGGTAAGGGAGAAGCCATTAGGATCAGGTCTATTTTGAGATCTTTAATTCCACTGGGAGATTTGGTGGGCGTAATAAGCATTGCTTTTCAGATGCCAACAATATCCAAAGGTAAGACCACTTCCATTCTCTGCTAATGACATGATGTTTTAAGTAATATCATTACTCAAAATTCTGCCCCATGTGGTTTTAAGAAAGAAAACCTCATGTGGGTTAATACAACAAAAACAAATCTATAAAGTAGTGTAAAGTGCTAAAATAATTGGCCGTTCATTATCATTTTAGGAGGGAAACTGGAGCTTACAGGTGGCATCCTGACTTGGTGTACTCCATCTGAGATAATTTCTTGTTTCTCCTGTTGACTTAATCTCCCTTTCTTTTCACTTCACCTCCAACTCATGCCCACATTGAACTGCAAACTAACCTTGTAAAAACAGAGGTAGGAACTATGTCAACTTAAATTCTAAGTATAGAGTTTGTACAACGATTGAAAAAAATCATTACAAGCTTATTGTAGTGAGGCAAACCAAAATTTTATTCAGCATTCGAGGTAGAGAGAGAAGGTGGGAAACAGACTGACATCATCAAAGCTATGTCCATCCAAATCCTAAGAGCCATTCACAATTCCTGCTTTATTGTCGTGGTGGCAAAACCAGTCCCCTGTACGTCACAAAGCAGACCTTTTTGTTACACACTGTTAGGCAATCTTTTCAGAATATCTAAATAGAAAACTTGATGAGCAGTCTGACCTGGTGGAGCAAATTCCAAATGCACTATCTCCCTCACATCAAAAACTAAATGAGCATTGTCTTGAACTTTGATTTCACGTAATGAATTTTTAGGGTGGAAGGTGAATTTTGTTGGGATTTGAATCCATTTTTAAATTGATGGATGTTCAGAACAAGATTGGTCATCAAAGACATTTATTTCACCTCTTTTTGAAATGAGAAAGCCACTTGAACACTTGTGTTTTTCCCATAGTACTGTCCTTGTAAGCTGTGTTCAACATCACAACAGTTTCTGCAGCATTTTTCCTGAGCAGGAAACAAAATTCCACAGCCACATGTGCTGTTTTCTCTTCAATCAGCATCACAAAAAACGAGGTTTGAGTGAAACTGCTTTTACAAAAAATTCACTGTGATCAGAGAGAACCTTCCCAGGTGACTCCACTCGGTGAACTAACTCAAAGCTAGTTGCTTGATGCGCACCTAGTGGAAAAATGCGTGTTTTGCAATGAAACATGTTACTCTCTCATTGTCAAGGGGATGATACTGACTTTCTTGTCTTTTAGAAAGAGAAAGAATTACTCTGCTCTGACATAGAGATGATGTGGGAGATTTTTATTAGGGAGCCTAGAACCATGATCTGAAGGCTAGTGTGGTCAGAAAGATAATTCCCCTGAACACATATTGGTAGGGGTTTTTAGGGGTTCCCAGGAGGGTTTGGGGGAGTTTCTATCTGAGACTAATATGTTTCTAGAAAATGCCATCAAATGCAAGGGATTCTGGGGAATGTAGTTTGTTTATTATGATGAAGGTTATTCAGGAGATGTGCATGCTCTGCTTCTACAGAAGGATGTGTAAGCTTTGTTTCCACACGATTACACTGGGTCTCAGTCCCTGAGGTAGCATTTCAGGAAAATAGTTTAAAAGTTTCTTTAAGAGAGCAGGTCGGTCTCTACAAGTTTTTCTCTCTGAACTCTCATCAGACTCAGTTGTACAAGAGATAACTTTTGCTTCATTGTCTAGTCAAGTAGCTTCCAGTTTTGTGCCTTTTCACTGTCTGTGACATTTTAATTTCTTTGTTTATCATGCTGCTGCTTATTGGTCCAGTTGTGAAGATTTTGGGTTTCTTTATGTTGTGTTATAATCTCTACTGAAGACTGTAGTCTTTGATTTTCATCAGTAATTACTAAGATTTCTTTTCATGTGTTAGACAGGGTTCTCTAGAGAAAGCCAGACACTAATAATTTTATATAACTTATAGAGATAGATAGATATATATAACATAAGAAATTAACAGTTAATTAAATTATGAAGCAATAAAAATGGCTCAATGCAACTCAAACTCATGAGACAGCTGTGAGACACTGGCAGTCCATCAAGTCTTGAGGGCCGCCGGGTAGTCCTCTGTAGAGCAATTCAGGCTATCCAGCACAGGTAGCAAACAGCAAGGCAGGTCACCAACAGTCAGCCAGATGACATGGTCCAACAGTCCCCAGCTCAAGAGATGTAAATTCCAATGGTGTGGTGAAGCAGGCCTTGAAGGATCCAAATTACAGCGACACAGTCCATGGGTTAGGTGTCCCATGTGTAGCTTGCAAATTGAGGCAAAGAAGAAGCAAGGCAGCTGCACACTGGTCCGATGATCAAAGAGCAAGAGACAAGAAAGGCGAGGCTCACTGAGCCATTTATCTCTCCGCCCTTCAGTTAATCCCACATGTGTTTACCTCACTTCATTTGCAACAAGTAAGGTTCTGTTTCTATGTTGCAGGTTGTTAATGTGCCCTTCTCCAATCCCAAAGGCACGTTCTTTTTCATGTAGTCCAGTTCCTTATTTATATAACATACAGTTTAGATAAGATTGGTGGAAAGACACAATCCAGATGCCCACCTTTCCTGATTTTTTTTAACAATTAAATCATTTTATTGGGGGCTTGAACAACTAACACAATCCACACATATCCATGGTGTCAAGCACTTTTGTACATTTGTTTCCCTCATCATTCTCAAAACATTTGCTTTCTACTTTAGCCCTTGATATCAGCTCCTCATTTTCCCCTCCCTCCCCGATCCCCTTCCCCCATGAACCCTTGATAATTTATAAATTATTATTATTTTGTCATATCTTACACCATCCGACATCTCCCTTCACCTACTTCTCTGCTTCCCATTCCCCAGGGAGGAGGTTATTTGTAGATCCTTGTAATCTGTTCCCCTTTTCTCCATAACCTTCCCTCCACCTTCCTGGTATTGTCACTCCCAGCACTGGTCCTGAAGGGTTCATCTGTCCTGGATTCCCTGTGGTTCCAGTTCCTATCTGTGCCAGTGTACTTTCTCCGGTCCACTGGATTTGTAAGGTAGAATTGGGATCATGATAGTGGGGAGGTGGAAGCTCCTTTCCTGATTTCAAATCACACACTATCTCTCTTGTTCTGTTCAAACACCTGCTTCTTAGACTATGTACAGGTTTCACATCACTATAAATTAGTGTTCTGGAGTTTATATTCTTAACATCACTATCAGTAGTATTTTAATGATCACAAATTTAAAAATAAACAAACAAACAGAAAACACTTTTGCATAGTGAGAGGGGAATTTCTTTCTTATATTCCTGTTTTCAGCCAAGCTCCATTTGACATTAGTGATGATATCCCTCATTCCACAATCTCTTATGAATTTCTGGCAGTCCCCCTCCAATGTACTACTGCAACTATTTAAAAAAAATCTCCAGCTTAAATTTACTTTTATGTGATATTAATGATTTGTTCTTTAATTTCCACACTCTGTTGGTCTACCTTCCTTGGAATAGACATGTCAATGATATATCTTTTCCATGCATTGGCATATATAAATAAATTCTTCTAGGTTTGCATATGTTGAAACATATCAGTTGTATTACATAAGCTCTGGAAGCTTTGGCATAGTGGGCTACTCATTGGGCTGCTAACCAGAAGTTCATCAGTTCCAAACCACCAGCCCCTTTGCAGGAGAAAGATGAGGCCTTTCATTCCCATGAAAATGGGAATAGACTCGGAAATCCACAGACACAATTTGACTCTCTACTATAGGGTTGCTGTAAGTTAGAATTGACTTCATGGCAATGAGTCAGAAAGTTCTGGAACTTTGTTTTCTGCCAATACTTTCAGTGCCACTTGAGTTTATTCCTTCAGTACTTTCAATTCTTTATCACTTAGAAGTAGCTGAACGTTTTGAACCTCAGGCAATTCTTTTGGGTACAGTGACTTTGTGTAGCCCTTCTATTTTCTTGATGTTCCCCGTGTATTCAATATTCTTGCTGTAGAGTCCTTCACCATTTAAATGAGACTTTTTTTCCCCTTCAATTCTTTCCATTCGAGAAATACCTTTTATGTTCTTCCCATTGGGTTTTCTAATACTAGGTCTTGTACATTTCCTTATAATACTGTCTTTTCAAGCTTCCCTCTGAAATCTATTGTTTACTCTTTTGCTTCATTTCTTCTTTTGGCTTTGAACTACTATATGTTCAAAATCAAATTTTGTAGTCTCTTCTGACATCCCTTTTACCCTGCTTCTTTTTCTGTTTTTTAACACCCTTTTGCTTTCTTCATGTATGATGTCTTTGAAGCTAACTTTAATTGATTTAAATATAACCTTAGTTAACCTTAGGCTAGAAATAATGATTACTATATAGCCTTAATTGATCTTGGGCTAGTAATAATAATTCTATAGTGTGACTGTGTGAATGGAAGGATATCACATCTATAATACTCAAAACACAATGTCTAACAGTGTAAGCAGTAAGAGCTAGTCTTCAACTTCATGCAATTATAAAGAAAGGAAGGTATTAGGTATATTAAATCCTTGAATGTTATTTTCTCTAAGACATTGTTATTTATTTTCACCACTGAAATATGAATATGTGTATATATATATGTTCAGTAGCTACTTGGATATGTGTTTGTGTTGATCACAAGTCAAAACAATCCTATGTACAACAGAATGAAACAGCTCAGTTCTACATCATCCTCACAGTTTTCTTATGTTTGAGGCCGTTGTTGTATCCACCATGTCAATCCTTCTTGTTGAAAGTCCTCTTCTTCTTCACCGCTTCTGTCTTACTCAGACAGGTGTGTGTTTGTTGAATGACTAAAAGGAACCCTGATGGCACCGCAGGGATACCTTGGACTGCTAATCACAGTGATCATGGTTCATACCCACCAGTGCTTCTGTGGGAAAAAAGATGAGGCTACCTGGTCCCCTAAAGTTTTATAATTTTTTTTAAAGTTTCATAATTTCGTTAACCCTATAGAGGGTGCCTCTGTGTCAGAATTGTCACTATGGCAGAGAGTTTTTTTTTCAGTGACTAAAAGCTCTATCAAATAAGTAGTCACTTCATTGTTTTAAGATTATTTGCATCATGTATTATCTTTCTATGATGTTTCCTTTCTTCAACATTTATTAATATTAAATATTATTTGTAGAATATTAAAAATTGTCTATACAGCACAATTTGAAAAATGTTATGGGATTATAGGAAATGAATTGGATTTTCAGTACTTCAAATTGGCACATAATCCCATAACTTCTTTATCTGTTGTTTCTAACCTATGAAGCTATCTAGTTTTCTTGAATTGTTTATATGAGTATCAAGCATTCAGTATTAATGGAAAAAATAATATGGCTCTCAAATATGTTTTATACATTGTTAAATGCTATGATGATTAACTAAACATTTTATTTAAAATCCCTACCTTAAGGTTCTCTAGTGAGACAGACCAGTATGTTATATAGATTTATTTTTACGATTTGGATCATATGATTGTGGGAGGTTGAGAGTTGAAACTCTGTAGGTCATGCAACAGGCTTGAGATTTCTTTAGACTTGTTATAGGAATAATGAAAAATGTAGGAGTTCAGGCAAGATGTCTATTTGTACATTGTAGGTAAAATGCATCATAAGGAAAATTCCCTTTGGCTCTTAAGGCCTTCAAATAATTGGATAAAGACAAGCCATGTATGGAGGGGGATATGCTTTACTTAAAGACACCTGGTTTAATCACATGTATTTACTTCAACGCAAACCTCTAGATGCGTATTTGACCCAACAGTTGGATACCACAACCTACCCAAGTTGACACCGACAATTAACCATCATCCATGCTGGCTTCATAATTTTATCATTTTATATATTTTTAAAAAATTATTTTATGGGGGTGCTCTTACAATTCTTATCACAATCCATACATACATCCATTGTGTCAAGCACATATGTGCATTTGTTGCCCTCATAATTCTCAAAACATTTGCCTTCTACTTTAGCCCTTAATATCAGTTGCTCATTTCCCTCCTCCCTCCCCACTCCCCCCTCCATCATGAACCCTTCGTAATTCATAAATTATAATTTTGTCATAAGTTACACTGTCCGACGTCTCCCTCTGCCCTCTTCTCTGTCATCCATCCCCCAGGGAGGAGGCTATCTGTAGATTCTTGTAATCAGTTTCCCCTTTCGGTCATACATCTCTGAAGGCATCCTGCTTCTCATATGGGTGTACATAAGTGAGAAAATGGTGTGGAAGTCATATAGAACCTCCTTTAGTTACACAAGAGAGAAGGTGAATCCATCTCCACAGGAGCACAAAGCCAATTGCTACAAGGTAGAAGTCAGACATATCTCCATCCTCCAACTTTCTTTACCCAATTCTGACACCAACAGATCTGCCCATGATACTGTATTTCTCCTGGATTGAAAAATTCATTATAATGGCCACACAGTCACCTTGAGTTAGAATCAACTTGATGGCAAAGAGAGCGTTATTAGGAGCATTATAAACAAGTGGCCATCTAGCTCAGAAGCAACAAAGCCCACGTGGAAGAAGCACACCAGTCTGTGTGATCATGAGGTGTTGATGGGATCAGGCACCGAAGACCCAAAATAAAACCATACCCAATGTGAATGAGGGGCGGGCATGGAGTGGAGACCCAATGTCCATCTGTAGACAATTGGACATCCTTTCACAAAGGGGTCACAGGGAAGAGATGAGTCAGTCAGAATGCGGTATATCACCGATGAAACACACAACTTTCTTGGAGCTCTTTGGTGCTTCCTTTACCTCACTATCATGACTCAATTCTCCCTTACAAAATGAATTAGACCAGAGCATGCACACTGCTGCAGATAAGAGCCTGCAACACAGGGAATCCAGGATAGATAAACCCCTCAGGGCCAACAAGGAGAGTAGAGATATCAAGAGAATTAGGGGAGGGTTGGGGGAACAAGGGGGAATCGATGACAAGGATCAGCCATTCTAGATCTCCCTACCAGGGGACGGATAATGGAAAAGTGGGTGAGGGGCAATGGAGGACGATGTAAAATACGGAAAAAATAATCTATAGCTTATCAAGGGTTCGTGAGGGAGGGCGGGTGGGGGAGGGAAGGGGAAGAAATATGGAGCTGATATATCAGGGTCTCAAGTGGGAAGAGAATGCTTTGAAAATGATGAAGGTGGCATACATGTAAATGTGCTTGACACACTGGAGGAATATATGGATTGTGAAAAGAGATGTAAGAGACCCCAATAAAAGTATTAAAAAATAATAAGACATGCAAAAAAAAGTGTACTTATCACAAGCCAGGGACTATAAACCTTAAGGATAAAGCTATTGGTCCACAGCAGCACCTCTTTGCAGCTGGTAGCCACGACTATCTACTATAGTCGTCTCTCCAATACTATGTGTTTCAGCCATGCTGTCCTTTGGACTATGCCTCTGCCTCCATGAACTCGGAAGCCTGCCCACTGCTCTGGCTTGCAGTTTCATAGTCTGGTCCATGATCGTCTGCTCTCATGGTTTTCTTCCCTTGGTGTGGCATGTCTTCTGTTGCCTCTGCCACTTCAGGCAGGGATTCAGAACATGTTCTGCTGATGGCTCGTCTTCTAGGATGGCCCTGGGGATTCTCTCTGTTCCTGATTTCAAGTTGGCACTTTTACATATAGGAGAATGGCAGCCAAGTTTAGCTAATCTGCTTTACTGTATTCATGATTCACACACCCTATATCCATGGTACCAGCCACTCATTTGGTTGGAGTTACAGAGACACGGATACATGGGACATAATTGAGCATTTTACTTCACCATAATATTTATTTATTTACTCCCTCCACCCCCATCCAAAACCATTTTATTAGGAGCTAATCAAACATGATACCATTCCATAATGCAATCACATCAATAGCTACCAAAATTGTTTCAAAACATTGTCTTTCTTCTTGAACTATTTGATATCATCCCCCTCTTACTCCACACCTCCACTTTGGAGCCCTTATTCTAAATGTCGTTTCTATTGGTTCATAAATCCTGCATTTAATATACCGACAAATATAGAAAAGTTCAAGAGGGCTGCCCACATTGACAAACTGTATCAGAGACAAACCCCCAAATGGAAAGAAAAATAAACAAAAACACAGAAAATATCAAAAAAAAAAAAAAAGAAAAAGATCAAGCACAAAGTGTATCAGCAGGGAGAGCAAGTGACAAGGTTTTACCAATTCGGGTCAGCGATGTCATTTTCATCTACTACAGTCATCTCTCCAATACTCTGTGTCTGATAATCAGTTTATTCCCATCCCTCAATTATGGTTAGAGGGAAGTCCCAGAAGGTTTATTCCCTGCGTCAATCCTGCAAATGTATTTTGAGCTTCCACATGCATCCATAGCCTCTGTGAGCCAGAAACAATTTAAGCTCTGATACTATTCCCGCCTTCGGATGTGGATTATGTAATTCCCATGCCTTGGATCATGGATGTTGCTGTGCATCATCCACGTGGACTTAGATGACTGCCTGTTTGATAACAAGCCTTTAAGACTCCATACACTATTCTTTCTGATAGCCAGGCTTCAGACTTTGCTATAGCACTTATAACTTCTGTGTTTCCTTCATGAGGGTATTAACCAGAGACATGCCATAAGAATGAATTGTTCTTAGATTGGAACTAGGATTAAGTGTGAGCTCAAAATCCATTCCTGAATTTGTTTATCTGCATCTGGTTCACTTTAGAGACCTCCTTGTTAATTTACGGAAGAGAATCTTATCGATCCTCTCCCTGGAGCATAAGGTCCTGTTTCTAGTGTTATTGATTAGAAGATTTAAAAATTTTAATGTCTTCCTTTACATTTTCATTTTTAATTCCTTTAACTCAGATAATAAATGAACGATCAAATAAAAATTTCAATAATCTTGAGCTTAAATTATACAGCAGAACTTCCTTAGCCAACTCCTAGCACTTGTTTGTGGATGATAAGAACAGAAAATAATTCTATGGTTAAGTCTATTTTACAAATGAAAATAGTTTACTGTGAGCATATGCCCTTTAATATCTCAGTGTTATCTTCTCTCTTTTAGATGGGAATGTGGTGGAGCCTGACATGTCTGCAGGGTTTTGTCCAGATCACAAGGCAGCCATGGTTTTATTCCTTGACAGGGTCTATGGGATTGAGGTTCAAGATTTCCTCCTCCATCTTCTTGAGGTTGGATTTCTGCCAGATCTCAGGGCTGCTGCCTCTTTAGATACGGTAATGATTTGAATAATTGACTTCCTAAAATTTGACTCTTTAGCCTTTGGCTTCTTAGATCTAGTCATTCATTTATAGACAAACATTTATTGGATCCCTAATATGTTTCCAGATAAGTTTTAGGAACCAGAAAAAACAACAACAAAAGACATGTAGTCAACAAATTCACTGAATAGTGGGGGGGAATTTCAACTTCAAGACTATGGTAAGAATTCTGATAATAGATAATAAAAGGTTCACTTAGCCTTGGTTTTAGAAAGCTAAGTATCTCCCATCAACCTCTACTTATATCCTTCTCTAAACAATTATACTTCTCAATGAAAGTACATATTAAGAAGATTGAATGATTACACAATCGAGTCAAGCTAATTAGAGCATTTTCCTTGTGCCTTTATTTGTGAAGAAATAGAGATTTATTTGAATTGACTTGATTGCAGTGTATTTGGATTTAAGCTTTGGTTAGGTATGCTCAAATGAAATTCTAAACTTAAATTAGCGTATATGCCAACATATTAATAGATCATCATTTGAGCATTTATTCTGATGCATATAGACTTTTAAATATTATTAATAAATAAAAGAATTTATGATTATGAAATGTAGTATGAAAATAAGTTTTTCTTCCCCCTCTCCCATAAAAATAAATACTCAAACTTTTTAATCACTAGCATCTTCATCTTTCATTGATCCCACATTTGATATTTTATTAAAGAACATGAACCTCATGGATTTCTGAAGAGCTATCTTTAAATTCATTTTTTATGTAGGTTTTAAAACTAGTTTTATTGCGGAGTAAAAGATCAGATGAACCATGTTTAAAAATATGGAAGAATACTCATTTATTTTTTCATATTTTTGTTACTTTCTGTATAGATAGTGAAACTATAATTCAACCTCTCGATTATGTTGAAAGCTGTCTACTTCTAAACAAAATAACTTTCTATTTTTCATTCCTTTTGTAGGCTGCATTGAGTGCTACAGACATGGCCTTGGCCCTCAATCGATACCTATGTACTGCTGTCTTGCCTTTGTTAACAAGATGTGCTCCCCTTTTTGCGGGCACGGAGCACCATGCTTCCCTCATTGACTCACTACTCCACACTGTGTACAGACTCTCAAAGGGCTGCTCACTTACCAAAGCTCAACGGGATTCCATAGAAGTGTGTTTGCTCTCCATTTGTGGGTAAGTGGGCATCTCACTTTATGCCAACTTTCTGCTTCTTTAGGAATTATCCTGTGGCTATTGATGACCTATTTTTAGAGACAATTTCTGCACCCACACTTAATCTATAGGATTTATTATCCTGTAGGTAGTCCTTTGTACCGAGGTTTGAGTCTTATCAGAGCTCACTTGCTCCTCCTAGTCATGTTAACAATTAGTCCTCCCTAACTTTTCAGGATATCTGGCACTTTGACACAGGTGACTAAATAGAGCATACTATTCTAGTTGCTGGTGGTGGAGTGATTGTGCGAATGGGGTCACTGACCACATAGTGTAAGGTTCAGTCCTTTGGACCCTGTGTGATAATATTTAATTCTTCCATACAAGAAAGAAAATGAAAGAAAGATGAAGTAATTAAAAATATAAAAATGCATCATGAATATAAATATTTTGCATTACTTGTATGTGGCAGTAATTTAGGCTGAATGAGTGCTCCAGTCTGGAGAGTAAGCATTCCGTCAGCATCATTATTTTGAAAGAAATAAAAAGTCACCTTTAACTCAGTCTCCCTGGTTACCTGCTTCCTGTTTCAATGAGAGGTTTAGGATCTTGGTTCAAGCAGAATGTGATGCAGTGCTTTAGAGAGGCAGGAGGTCTTGATTGAGCTGAAATGGTAAAGGGTTTAATTCTAGGAATTTCTGAAAGCTGACAAGAGGTCAAGCCAGCCCAAATGAGGGACTGATCTCCATTTCTGTTCTAGAGAGTTGGAATCATTCTGTTTTATACCTACACATATATTAGTGCACAAATATATTGGTTTTCCTAGATATGGAGAATCTCCCAAGCTAGAAAGGGATAAAAGAACAAATGTGACAACAGTGTGTGAGCTTGTGTGCTTCTAGGTATCTCTGTGTGTCATGGTGAGGTGATGTGGAGACTCAAAAAAAGGTAGACCTTGAACATATAATCAGTCTGTGTCTTATAGAAGATGACAATCACAAAACAGACCTCTCGATTGCCAATACCAGCTGTATTACTATATGAATAATTGCAAACTGGTTCTAAATGCATTAAATAATTGCTCATCTCTAGTTAGAGTTCAATGTTTGGCTTTTCTGCCTTACTCTTTGGTCAAAATAAATGTTTAATGTTAGTAGCTAAGATTTTAAAATGGTAAGTTTTAACTTAATGCCACAGGTTAAATGTTTTAAAATAAATATTATTTAACAATTTGTGATCGTAAATATTGAACCTCATTTTCCCAAAAGATAATTAGATAGAGAAGGGTACGTTAAGACCAATAGTCAGAGAAAAGAGTAACATGGATTCGTGAGTTAAAAGAGATTGTGTTTGAGTTCCTTACTAGTTATGTTACTTAGATTCCTAACATTCCCACCCATGACCCTAAAGGCCTATGAAATGGAAGCAATAGTACCCATTTCACTGGATTTTTTTCTAAGAAGTAAATGAGGATTTCTAGTTGAGCTGCTAACCCCAAAATCAGCAGTTAAAAACCACCAGGCACTCTGTGGAAGAAGAGTTGAAATCTTGAAACTCACAGGAGTAGGTCTCCCCTGTCCTAAAGGGTTGCTATGAGTTGGCATCAATTTCGGGGGCAGTGAGTTAGAGCTTTTTAAATGAGGTTTAAAGCAAAACAAAAAAAATCACTGCCATTGAGTCAATGCCGACTAATAAGTGACCCTACAGGACAGTACAAATCCGCCTCTGTGAACTAACAAGACTATAACTCTTTATGGGAATAGAACACCCAGTCTTTCTTCCTCCTGCAATTGAGGTAAAGTGTTTAGTAATTCTTTACAGGGCAGCTTTTACTATATGTCAGTTTTCTGTCCTTTCCTCCTATGGCAAAAATACTGTCATAACTTTTGTTTATTTATGTAGTCCCCTCCTTTCTACTCATACACATCCTCTTCTTTCCTCTTTCTGGTCTAGTCACTGAGACTCACTCACTGGAATAAAAATAAAAAAGATTTTCTAGAATGAATAAACCTGGGGTAGAAGTTTATTCATTCTAGTAGTGGCAAAAAATGTAGCCCACAGCACTGAGTGGTTAGGAAGGAAGAGCATCACTGATAGAAGATAATGGGTGGTTTTTATTTCTAGAGGATTGAAGTGAGGTGGGCAATGTAGCCTTTTCTGAAATTATTTTGATAACCTAGTGATAACAATTATTACCATCTGAAGCAAGGTATAGGTATACGTCCTTGGCTGATATAATGTAGTTTATTGAATCAGCTACTTAGTTTAGCCATATTTCCCTTCACTATTAAAACTGTCTTTGTTCTAACAGCCAGTTGAGACCTTCCATGATGCAGCACTTACTCAGAAGATTTGTATTTGATGTCCCATTACTAAATGAACATGCAAAGATGCCTCTTAAGGTAAGAGCAAGAGATATGTCTACTAATGTGGTCACCGATTAATCTGACCTTGTTCTGCTGCAGTCTTCTAGATACATCATGTTTAATCGCTGATGCTTGACTTTCCTCTACTTATTCAATAGATGTATTATAGAAATGTTCACCTTTGTCTAAAATAAACATGTAATGAAAGGGAACTGAAATCCTCAGATTGATTTTGAAGTGGGTCACAAAGGAAAGATGAGGCAAGATATTCTTAGGCTTGAAATATTAAAGTAATTTCAAGGAATAACGAGCAGGCTTTAGAACCACATTTCCTAAGTTGATAATCAATGATACCTTCCAAATTCCATGTTATATGGCTCAAAGCTTTGTGCAGTTACAGTTTGTCGCAGATTACTTGGAAGAGCATCTGACATTTTCCCTTCCCTGCCTTGGTAATCCCAAAGAAAGGAATGACTTGTGTAAATTAAATAAAGCCCTCCTAGAAATTCCATTTTTATCATTTTCACAATGTAGCATAGCCTCTGACATGCAAAAATGTGTTTACACAAAATAATTAAAAGATCTCTGAAAAAGATATGGAAATATTTTCTTATCTTTATGCAACAAGACTTTCACATTATAATTTTTTTAATATTAATCAAAACATACTACATCTTCATATGTCATGATTTGAGATGCCTACCATTTTCGTGGGAGTGAGGGATGTTTTCTGTGTGGATGTGTGGAAGTGTGACTGTAACTGAGTTGCAGACCAAACCAGAAGAAATATTTCAATAGTAAGAGATATTAGCTGTCGGCCTTACTAAGAATTTACAGAGCACTGATGGTGTAGTGGTCATGCTTTGGGCTATGATCCTTATGGTTGGCGGTTTGAAACCACCAGCAGCTGCATGAGAAATAGACTAGGCTTTCTACTCCTGTAAGTATTCACAGTCTTAGAAACCCACAGAGGGATCACTATGAGTGAGCCTGGACTCAAGGGTTGTGAGTTTGGTTTGGTTTGGGTATACTTAATTAAAATATATCAATTTATTAATTTGATAGCTAGTTTTAATTTGATACACTAGTTTATACATTTAGAATGAATTAACAGAAGTGTTATCAAATAATTGAAAGATTCTGTCTTTGTCATTGCACTTTCAGTTTAGTATTTTACAGTTAAAATATATGTAAGTGGCTCTCAAGGAGAAACAATGGCCCTGTAACCATGATAGTACTGTATTTAGAGGAATGATTCAAGTCTAGCCATTTTGAAACTTATTTATGAAAGCAAGTTTTCAGGCAAATTATTAAGTGTGATGATTAAAGATAGGCAGACAAGAAACAAAAATATTCACAGATGGATATTTCTAACTATTCATAAAATCAAGAATGTGAACACCAGTTTTCATCATATCACTGTTTATAATAAAAACAATCTAAGTGTCCATCAGCAGATGAATATGAAATTTGACATATAATGAAAAATTACTCTACCATGAAGAGAAATACATATTTTTTCTTTAAAAAATCCTTTTTTAAAAAAATCATAACATTGTGAATGAGGGGGAGTACAGAGTGGGGACCCAGGGCCCATGGGGGGAAATTGGACATCCCCTTGCAGAAGGGCTGCGGGGAGGAGAGGAGCAAATCAGAGTGCAGTGTAGCAATGATGAAATATGCAATTTTCCTCTAGTTCTTAAATGCTTCCTCCGCCGACTACCATGATCCCAATTCTACCTTACATATCCGGCTGGACCGGAGGATGTACACTGGCACAGATAGGAACTGGAAATACAGTGAACCCAGGACAGATGAACCCCCCAGGACCAGTGAAGAGAGTGGCGATAGCGGGAGGGTGGAGGGAAGGTGAGGGAGAAAGGGGGAGCAGAACACAAGGTCTACATATGGCCTCCTCCCTGGGGGACAGACAGTGGAGAAGAGGGTGAGGGAGACGTTGGATGGGGTAAGATATGATAAGATAATAATAATTTATAATTATCAAGGGTTCAGGGGGAGGGGGGAGCAGGTAGGGAGGGGTAGAAATGTGCTGACATCAAGGGCTCAAGTGGAAAGCGGGTGTTGAGAATGATGAAGTCAACATATGTACTAATGTGCTGGACACAAATGACGTATATACAGATAGGATGAGTTGTATGAGCCCCTAATAAAATGATTATTTAATAAAAAAACTCTTTATTGGGAGCTTTTACAGATATTATGACAATCCATAATTCAATTAGATCAAGCACAATTGTACAATTGGTGCCACCATTATTTTCAGAACTGTTTTCCTTTTTTTTGCAGTCTTTTTTTAAAAATCATTTTATTTGGGCCTCTTACAACTCTTGTTACAATCTATACATCAATTGTATCTAGCATATTTATACATATACTCCATTGTTCTTTTCTAGACATTTACTTTCCATTGTGCCCGAGAAATATATCTTAATACAATGTAAATGAATTTTGAAAGCCTAATGATGATTTAGATAAACCCATCACAAAAGAACAGATGGTGTACTCATATAATCCCACTTAATAAGGAATATCTAGAATATACAAATGTTTATAGACTAAAACTTATTATTGTTGAAGAAGGAAAGGAGAGGGGACATATTTGCTTAGGCGAAACCTAGTTTCTGTTAATGGCAGACTTGGAAATTAGTAGTAGTTATGGTTTACACAACATGATGACTATGTTCAATGTCACTAAATTGTGTATATTAAAATATTTTGAATGTGAAAGTGTATATATAGATCACAATAAAACAAACATTTTAATTGACATAAAATAAAATTATGATAAAATTTTCTTGTAAATCATGAAAATAACTTAAAACTACAACACAAGGATATAGAGCTGGACAGGTGACCTCTCTAAGAATAGTCTTAAATAATGAACATTTGATTATGTGGACCTCATAGAGATTGAAATATTGAATTTAAATAGCTCATATACAAGGACATAATTTGAATTCTTCTGAATCAATCCATATGTAATTTAGAATTTTCACTGAAGTTGACCCAATTGTGTGGCACTTAAATATAGATACAAGAAAATAGAGAAAAAAATGAAAATATATATATAGCTCATTGCTTTTATAATTTCTTTCCCATGTAGCTGCTGACAAATCATTATGAAAGATGCTGGAAGTATTATTGCCTACCTGGAGGTTGGGGAAACTTTGGTGCTGCATCAGAAGAAGAACTACATTTATCAAGAAAATTGTTCTGGGGCATTTTTGATGCCCTGTCTCAAAAGGTAATTTAATGTTTCATGATTCTTTTGTATTGATAAAATAATAAGACCATAGGTTTTTGACTATATATTTACCCTAGAGAAAAATACTTCTACTAATCAAAATTTATATAGTGGTGCTTTTGTGTGTATGGGGGGATAGATAACCCCAACAAACAGAATATTTTTAAAAGCTATATACTTAATTTTTTTTACAAAACAACCTTACCACCTTCAAAGTACTCTCGGTTACAGTTAATTAATTTGTCAAATCTGAAATTCCATTGGAAACATTTTTCAAACTCATCTGTTTGGATGGCTAACAGCACCTCCCTCATTTTTTTCTTCACCTCTTTCACATTGTCAATTGCTGTCCTTTCATGTCTCTCTGCATTCGTGGAAACAAAAAGAAGTCTCTTCGAATGAGGTTAGGTGAGTAAGGTGTGAGGGTTAAGAGAGACGTTGCTGTTTTTTGACAAGAACTGGAGCACCTAGATGGTTGCATGAGTAGGTGCATTGTTGTGTTGGCAAAACCAATCCACTGATTACCACAAATCAGTCTTCTTTTGTTGCACATTGTAATGCAATCTTTTCATATCCTCTAAATAGAAAGCTTGATTACCAGTCTGACCTGGTGGAGAAAACTCCAAATGCACTATGAGTCAACATTTTCATCTGATAGGGAAGTTGAAGGATGCCCAGAATGAGGTTTGTCCTCAATCTACATTTCACCTTTTTTGAAATGAGTACACTTGCATTCATCCCATAGAGCTGTCCTTGTAAGCTATATTCAACATCACAACAGTTTCTGCAGGGCTTTTCCCAAGCAGAAAACAAGATTTCACAGCCACATGCTGTTCTCTTAAATTGGCCATCACAAAAAACAAAGTTTTTGTGCTTTTGTGAAACTGCTTTTATGAAAAATTTACTGTGATCAGAGAGAACCTTCCCAGGTGCCACTGGGTGCTCTGACTCAGATCACGTTGTTCAACGCTTGCCTAGCTGGGAAAAATGCATACTAGGAAAGCTATGCCCAGCAGAGTTTTCTTTCCAGTTTGGGGGCAGGGGGTGTTATCCCATCATATTTGCCACCCAAATAACAAATGTTGAGAGTAAAATTTAACTTGGGTTTTTCGTATTTCCAATGGTAGCATATTCCTTGTGATCAATACACTGCTCCTAATTTATAAATGATTTAATTTTTCAAACACATGGCTTGAGAACTTCTTGTTCATTTTGAATTAGGTTGACTTAACCTCTCCCCAGTCACCACCTTATGCTTGTAAATTCTGAATAAATCTTTCAAAAATTAAAAATATAAATTATTTTCAAAAAGAAAATTCTGACGGACTTACCTACGTTGTGCTGGTCTATAGATTGAAGACCATTGGCTAGCTATTTCATATGTGTGCTAGCCCCGCATAGAAGTCCAATGTTTATGGAATGTTTTATTCATTTTCAGATTGGTTAGATGCTAGATTTGGGGGCGGGGGGAATGTTAGAATATATCTTACATTGTTTTTTTAAAAAAATCATTTTATTGGGGGCTTGTACAACTCCTATCACAATCTATACATACATGCATTGTGTCAAGCACATTTGTGTGTCCGTTGTGATCATCATTCTAAAAATATTTTCTTTCTGTTTGAGTCCTTGATATCAGCTCCTCATGTTTTCCCTCCCTCCCTCCCTCTCAAACCCTTGATAATTTATAGATTATTATTTTTTCATGTTTTACTCTGTTTGATGTCTCCCTTCACCCACTTTTCTGTTGTCTGTCCCGCAGGGAGGGGGTTATGTGTAGATCATTGTGATCTGTTCCCCCTTTCTCCCCCACCTTCTTCTTATCCTCCTGCTATCACTACTTTCATTATTGGTCCTGAGGGTTTATCTGTCCTGGATTCCCAGTGTTTCCGGCTCTTAGCTGTACCAGTGTACATGCTCTGGTCTAGCCAGATTTATAAAGTAGAATTGGGATCATGATAGTGGGGTGGGGTGGGAGAAAGCATTAGAGAGCTAGAGGAAATTTGTATGTTTTATCGATGCTATACTGTGCCCTGACTGGCTTGTCTGCTCCCCCCCCAACCCTTCTGTAAGGGGATGTCCAGTTGCCTACAGATGGGCCTTGGGTCTCCACTCTACACTCCACCTCATTCACAATGATATGATTTTTTGTTTTTTGATGCCTCATACCTGATCCCATTGAAACCTTGTGATTACACAGGCTGGTGTGCTTCTTTCATATGGGCTTTGTTGCTTCTCAGCTAGATGGCCACTTGTTTATCTTCATGCCTTTAAGACCCCAGACTATGTCTTTTGATAGCCGGGCACCATCAACTTTCTTCACCACATTTGCTTATGCACTTTGACTTCAGAGATCATGTCGGGAAGGTGAGCATCATGGAATGCCAGTTTAATAGAACAAAGTATTCTTGCATTGAGGGAATACTTGAGTAGAGATAGGCCCAATGTCCATCTGCTACTTTATACTAGACTTATAAATATATGCACATAGAGCTATTTCCCCATTATCATATATAAATATATTTACAAATGTACATGCTTGTATTTAGACCTCTATAAATCCCCTTTGTATCCTAGTTCTTGACTCTATTTCCCTTTAATTTCCTCTTGTCCCTCTATCATGTTCAGCCTTCATTTGGATTTCGGTATTTCCTCTTGGTTACATTGCCCTTGATCAAGCCCTACCAGGCCTCCTACACCCTCCTTGCCATTGATTTTGGATCACCTGTTGTTCTCTTGTCCCTCAGTTTGTTAACACCCACTTCCTTTCTCCGGCCTCACCCTCTCCCATGTTCCCCCAGAACCATCAGTATCATTGTTTTCTCCTCTGGGTTGTTTATCCTGCCTATCTTATCTAGCTAGACCTGCAGAGATAATAATATGTACAAAAAACAAAACAGCAAAACAAAGTAGCAAAAGAAAACCAAACAACAACAGCAAAAACCAAGGACAAAAAAAAAAAAAGGAAAGAAAGAAAGAAAAGCCTGTGAATATTTCAGGATCTGTTTGTTCACCTTTAGGAGTGTTTTCTGGTCGAGTCTGATGGGATACCATGCCGTAGCCCCCAAATCTATTTTTTATATTCCCCAGGGACTTCGTTGCTCTGTTCCCCTTGCTATTCTGTTGCATGCCCTTAGTGTTTCATCTCAGTTTGTGGGATCAGATCAGGTGCAATTCCTACACTGTGTCTCCAGTGTTGCTCCCAGTAGCACTATGGCTCAGTGCAGGATGTCCTGTAGCCTCAGGGCTTGGTGGGCCAGGATGTGTTCCATTCTCTCTTCCTCTCCTTTCATTTGCTCCTGTGTGCTCTGATCAGACATGTCCCTCTTCCTGAGCCGTAGCTTCAATGTCTTCCTCTAAAGTGAATACTTCTGTGGGGAGAGGGGACTATCCACATAGTTGTGATTGCGGCCAGCCCCTCAGACCATAAAGTTCTTTCTTAGACACATGAGTGCCTGTGAATTTGTTTCTCGAGCCTACCCACACTAACACAGAAAGCTTCACTAGAGAGGCCTTCTCTACTGCAACAGTGTTCCTTTTCATTCCTCTCAACAAGCAAGGACCATATTGTAAGGACATTAGGCATCCAACTTGTAGTTTTTGTTTTGCTCCTTCCAGTTCTTTTTGTTTCCTAATCTTAAAGAGTATTTAAAGTGCAACATTTTTTCTTCAGTTACTAATGTAAAAAAGCCTGCTTGACATGATTAAATTCCCAGAGCCCTCAGTTCTTTAGGAATGGGCTAAATGACTGGTATTATTGTTTCAAAAGTATCTTAGATCTAATGAAGTTTATGTTGAAGTAGAAAATTAATATTTTTAATTTTTATCTTTTAATTCCATTTTTCAGTAACTCTTTGAAGTCCCCTGTAAATCATCACAAAACTATACTTTCATATATACAAAATCCATACATGATAACATTCCAAAGGGTGAGAAATGCGAGGTGATCTATAAGGAATTATAAGGAAGATAGTCTATAGGAAATACACATAATGAAGCCTGGGGAGAAGAAGTCCTTATATATTATTCACAAAATTATATGAAATTGTATTAATAGATTTTCTTAAGCTAGAAATATTATTTTTAAAAAGTTATCTCCCTTTAAATAAGAAATTATAATTTAATATTATGAATACCTCTAAAATATTCTCTACATATTATTTCAAAAAGATTCTCAGTTTAACAAAGGAAATTTAGTAAGAGAAAGTAGCAAAATATAAATAACAAATTTAATGTCAAATGAATTTTTACCTTCTGATCACACTACTCAAGTAGTCTAATAATGTCTATCTGGAAGTTCAAGCTGACTTTGTTGAAAATTGAGCCATAAGAATGCAATCCAGATGGACATTGGGTCTCTACTCAAGTAGTCCCTCAATGCAAGAACACTTGCTCTCTTAAACTGGCATTCCATGATGCTCACCTTCCCAACAAGATAACCAAAGACAAAGTGGGTGCATAAGCAAATGTGGTGAAGAAAGTTGATGGTGCCCAGCTATCAAAAGATATAGTGTCTGGGGTCTTAAAGTCTTGAAAATAAACACGTGGCCATCTAGCTGAGAAGCAACAAAGCTCACATGAAAGAAGTACGCCAGGCTGTGTGATTATGAGGTGTAAATGGGACTAGGTATGAGGCATCAGAGAACAAAAAATCGTATCATTGTGAATGAGGTGGAGTGTGGAATGGAGACCCGAGGCCCATCTGTAGGCAACTGGACATCCCCTTACAGAAGGGTTGGGAGGTGGGGAGGGAGCAGACAAGCCAGTCAGGGCACAGAATAGCACCGATAAAACATACAAATTTCACCTAGCTCTCTAATGCTTTCTCCCACCCCACCCCACTATCATGATCCCAATTCTACCTTGCAAATCTGGCTAGACCAGAGCATGTACACTGGTACAGCTATGAGCTGGAAACACAGGAAATCCAGGACAGATAAACCCTCAGGACCAATAATGAGAGTAGTGATAGCAGGAGGATAAGAAGAAGGTTGGAAAGAAAGGGGGAACCTATCACAATGATCTACATCCCAAAAAACTATTGCCAAAAATATTTGCTCTTGACTGGTCTATTTTTGTTTTGATTCTGTTTTGTCTTCAGATTTGTACTTGTAAACAATATTTCATCTCCTGTTACAGTTCTTCCAAGACACTTATTTAAAATTCCCATCAAAATCTGTAGTCTTGTCAGCAACTAGTTTGGTAAACCCATTGGCTCAACATTAACTTTTCTGTCAGAATTTTGTAAGGTGAAACAAATGACATTTCTATACTGTTGTTTACTGTTTCTACCATTCATCATTGGTAATCTTCTTTTAGGACATAAGAAGGTTAGTTGTTTTCTTACAAATTGATGTGGGAGTTGTGCTGCAGCTTGCTTCATCTTCAACATGATTGTCTTTTCTTAAAATGAGTTATTAATAAACTGCTGGTTTGGGAGGAATTGTCCCCACTTACTTTTGATAGCATCAGTAATTTCACCATTCATTCTACCAAGCTTTACCATGAATTTGATGTTTGTTCTTCCTTTCATTTTGGCAGAATTCATATAGGGCTCTTTTCTAACTGATCTCTTGTCCTTCTTAATACCTCAAACTAGATATTGTACATACACATTATGAATATAACAATTTGGACTTTTTTAGTGCAAAAAATAGAAATCTATGGATAATTTTTTAGTGCAAAAAATAGAAATCTATGGATAATTTTTTTCATAAAATACATTTTTCATGAACTTTTGAAGATCACATCATAAAATTAATTATAAGAAATATACCCCTCATTACCTAAAATTATGTTTATTAAGACATGTTACTTAGAATATTCAGGTTAATTTGAAATATTGAGGGATAAACTATTGTGAAAGCCATAATTTAATTTTTCTTGGGTTGATTCATTATATCTTTGATCTCTTATGTGTGATGAGATTTCAAGGTTTATATTTCATTTGCTAAAAAAAAAAAAAAAAAAAATCTGTCTGTGAGTTAAGTTAGCCCAGACTAATTTACATTTCTCAGTGACACTGAACAACCTACACTGTTCATGTTGCCTTGACAACTCTTACCAAATAACATTTTTGTGGGGTTTTTTGTTTTTTGTCTCTTTTTCTCTTCAGAAATATGACCAAGAACTTTTCAAACTGGCTCTTCCTTGCTTGAGTTCAGTGGCAGGAGGTTTGCCTCCAGACTACATGGAGTCAAATTATGTCAGTATGATGGAAAAACAGTCATCAATGGATTCTGAAGGGAACTTTAACCCACAACCTGTTGATACCTCAAAGTATGGACTCTTTCTATTGCAGCAGATTTTTATTGTAAATGATGTGTGAAGTCTGAAATTGAATAAGGTACTAAAGTGAACTTTCTATAATCCATGCCCCTTTGAAATGGTATCCTTTTATAGGAGTTCATTTAATTTATAAAATTGCAATAGTCATGATAGTGATTAAAATTAAAATGAGAAACAGACCAGACTGTACCTTCTAAGATACTTCTAATATAATCAGACTTCTCAACTTGCAACACCATAATATATATCTCGAAACTAATATTTTTAGTAGAAATGTTGTCTATTTATTAATAGTGTCTGCCAACCTCTGTGTAACATCTTTTCCCAGCATGATTCCATCATGCACTGCAGAGCTATTTATTTATAGATACTGCATGGAATCACTTATATCTCAGTAATGCCTGGGGTTTTGAAGCGGAGGTTTCAGCATCATAATGTTCAACATGGATAGGATCGAAGGGAATGCCAAATGAGAATATTTGTGGAAATTTAACATGCAATTAGAATGTAATTCAGCAAAACTATGTAAAGATAAAATAACATACTTAACATTATGAGACTTTTTATATATGTTTAGTTATAGATTGCTCTACTAACAGAAAGTTTGGGGCATATCAGGTGTTGGAAGTTTCAGCTTCTTTTTTTTTTCCTTTTGTTAATACTTGTCTTCAAGTAGGACCATAATTTCCCATTTGCACGGATAGCTGCCACTTCATGCCACACTTTCTTATTGATTTTATGAGGACTCAGCAGGATCACTTTTAACAGGGCAATCACTTGATAGTTACCATCCACAGCTTCTGAATATGCTTTTGAATTCCATTTGAGGCTTCTGTGTAACCCCCAGCTGGTTTAGTCCAAATTTCAACCTGAGCGGTATGCCATTAATTGGACAATGCTTTAAATGAGCATGTTTGGCATTTGGTGAGAGTCCTATGAGAAAGACTACTCTCCCCAGTATTTGATCTTATCTCTTCCAAAGTAAGTAAACCAAAATATCCCATGTCCACATTCATAAGTTCATGGTTTGCAAATATCTGCCATAACCCAGGATTATGAAATAAAATCAGAATGATGTCATGTATTGAGTATTGATTAATCATGTATGTGGTGAGCATGTGTATTAATTTACCAATTTATCACTAAAGGGGTAAGTCTACATAATAATAATTCTACATCTTTATGATTTGTATATATTTACTTCTTAAGTATTTGTGTCCGGTATTTCAGACATGGTCATCAACTAAAGGCATTGAACATTTGTTCAGGAACTAAATGTCTAATCCTGAAAGGTGTTGACAATAAATGCTTCAAAAACTTTGAAATATGAGTTTGTTGCTTTTCCCTGTGAGAGGTATTAAAGAGCTCTGATGGTGTAGGGGATTGCTTTGAGCTGCTAACTGTTAGGAAGACCATCAGGAGAAAGATGAGGCTGTGTATATACCTCCTTGCATTTTTTTTAAGTCTCGGGATCTCAAGGAGCAGCTCTACTCTGTCCTAAAGGGTCACCAGGAGTCAGAATGGACTTAAGAGGAGTGTTCTTTTAACTTGTTTTATAGTCATATTAACAGAACCCTGATAGTATCATTTACAGAGTTCTGGTGCTGCTGTGGGTAGGCCTTGGACTGCTTACCACAAGACTGGTAGTTCAATTGTACTAGTCTTTCCACAGACACTCTCTGCAGGGTGTTAGGAGTTGGAATCAAGTTGATGGCATTGGTAAGTGGATAATAGATATTGGTAACATTTGAAATGTTTTATACACCATTGAGAGGAGCCCTGGTGGGTTAATGATTATGCTTTGGGCTCAATCCACTAGGTCAGCATTTTGAAACAACCATCAGCTCTGTGGGAGACAGACCGGGCTGTCTACTCCCATAAACTGTCAACAGTCTCAGAAACTTACAGGCACAGATCTACCCTGATGTTTAGGATCACTGTGAGTCAAGATTGACTCAGTGGCAGTGAGTTTGAGTTTTTGAATACTTAAAGTCATTTACAGATGTATTGTATGAAATTGGAATTTCAATAACTAACAGACTGAATGTCTGCAGCATTTTACTCATTTTTTGTTACAGAAATGATGGATAAAAAGGGAAATTGATGTCAAAGAGAGACTATAGGAGAGGAGGTATCCCTAAGCTTGTTGAGTGTGACTATATTTTGACGTAGCTATGAATTTTGTTTTGTCTATATTTTTTCACTATACTATATATAACATGGCTTTTTAATGTTTTTCTAAAATGTGAAAGTAAAACCTTGGTTAAAACTACCTTAACGTTCATGTATTTAATATGATGTAAATACTCATAAGCTTTGAGTAAATGACTATTATTATTATTTTCTATAAGTAATATAAAAATCAACCTTTAAAATTTTTTCTTACAGTGTTACAATTCCTGAAAAGTTGGAATACTTCATTAATAAATATGCTGAACATTCCCATGACAAATGGTCAATGGACAAGGTAAAAGACTGAGACATGCTTTCTGAGTCACCAACATTGTAAATTAGGGGTTACTGCACAAATACTTCTGACAGTGACAGTTTCTACTTTATGAATTATCACTATCAAGATAAGAAAATAAAATTTAGTTACAATTTGCTAATATAATATTTTAACAAATTCTGTCATTCGTGAGTATGCTACACATGCAAATAGGAATTTTTTGACTGAAATGCACAATTTTAACTTTTAAAACATTTACAAATTCAATAAGAAAGATAGTCTCTAAGCACATTCCATTTCTGGGAGTGAGAACAAAACCCCCTGTCACCAGAAGCTTCCAGAGGTGATGTTGACCCTATAGGAGATCTTGTCATTTTAGATTAAAGATTTTTAAAAATCCTAATTCAGGTTCTAATCTTCTATTATTATTTTTACTCCCAAATCGATCTGCAGTTCACTGAGAGATAGATTACTTTGCCTATTTTATTTGTGTTAAAATAGGCAATATAGGAGAGGAGGTATTCCTAAGCTTGTTTAGTCTGACTATATTTTGAAGTAGATGTGAGATTTTGTTTTGTCTGTATTTTTTCAATATACTATATGTAACATGGCTTTTTTACATTTTTCTTAAAATGTGAAAGTAAAAACTTGGTTAAAACTACCTAACACTCATGTATTGAATAGGATATAAATACTCATAAGCTTTGAGTAAATGACTACTAATATTTTCTATTTTATTATAATTTCTATTTCGTATTTTAACTACCAAATAGATCTGCAGTTCACTAACAGATAGACTACATTGATTATTTTCTATGTGTTAACTAACTAAAGCAGTAAGAAAACATGACATAATCCTGCACATCACGAAATCTTCTAAAGGGAAACATCATGCTTCAGAACTCACATATATATTGAACCTGATTTAAATTAGAGAGGATGATTAAAATAGATTTGTCAAAGAAGTTAAGTTGAAATAGTGCAAAAATCTAAATTAAAATCATGGTTATGTGAAAATTAGAAAAATATTCCACAGTCTACAATATGCGAATTTTCATATTCAGTCTCAGACCTTTCACTGACCAACCAAGTTCTTACCTTCTTCTTAAAAGAAGCCCTTTTTAGTTATGATAAACATGACTCTCTGTTCAGTAATAGATTTATTCAATAAACCAAGCAGGATTAACTAATTGTCTACTTTATGTAATGTAATGAGCTGGTAGGGGTAGTGATAGAAGAGAATCCATCTAGTTAACCTGATGGATTTATAGGGTAAACATTATAGGGAAACAATTATATTTACAGATGGGCAAAATGATGTTGAAAAAACAATCCCCAGATCAGGCCAACTCCAGGATCCATGACACAAAATGCGCCTGGCCCAGCACCATTCTTAAGATTTGTTGTGCGTTGAACTCTCGTGATGTTTAGGCTTTCACTGACTGATTTTTGGAAGCAGGATTTTCTTCCCAGTCTGTCTTAGACTGCAGAGCATCACTGAAACTACTTCAGCATCATCAAAATATGCAACCTACTGATGACAGTTATCTGGTGGTGGTGCAAGAGGTGCATTGGCTGGGAATTGAACCTAGACTTCTAGCAGAGAAGGCTAGCCTTCTATCCCTGCACCATCTATGCCCCCAGTACAAACATGCTCAGATATAATTGGCTATACAAATGGGGAAAACGTCATTATTCAGGAGTGCTTTTAAGACACGTACTCCTGTTTAAAAGGAGCATTTCACATTAATTTATCATATGTGAACTCCCAAAATGTGGCAGAATTACTATAGAGCTTTGTCTCATTATAACCTATTAAGAGAGTGGCCCTGGATACAATCTCTGACCAGGACCAATTTAAGGAAGATAGGCATCTTCATCCCTGCTTTAGAAGTTATCTTTCAGGTGAGTATTTAAAATAGCATTGACTAGGATAGCAATCTTTATATTGATTTATGCTAGATAAAATTCAAACTATGGTTCATATTTGGGTATAATTTGTGTTTATTTTATAAAAAACAATATGCATATGCATACTTACATTCTCTAAAATTAATACATAATTTTTTTTCATTTCTTTAGTTGGCAAATGGGTGGATTTATGGAGAAATATATTCAGACTCTTCTAAGGTTCAACCATTAATGAAGCCATATAAACTATTATCTGAAAAGGTGAGGGTTTTGTTTTTAGTGAGATTTTATATAGTTTTCAAAGAATGTTTTAAAAAACATTTTCATTGTTTAATTTTCTTATTAAAGTATCTGCTTTATTTTTTATATGTACTGTTTTCACTCCAGTTTAAAGGTTTCATTTTTTTCATTTGTACTTTTTTCTCTACTTCCTTGTTTTATCTGTATTTTATTGGTATTTGCTTCTCTCCTTCAGACTTTTCTGTTCATTTTCAAATATTATTTCTTTCCTATATATTTAAGAACTGCACAAAAGAATCATATACTAAATGGTTCTCTGATGGGGAATAACAAAGTAATATTTAATATCAATATTAAATATTTTAAAAATAATGTTTATTATTAATAAGTTTTCATGTCCTTCACTATTGTGGTGGAAAATCTGATACTTTGGGAAGAAGAGGTATTTCTCTGTTTAATCAGGTAGTTGAAAGTTTCCATGTTTATCATAGAATCTGTCTTTTTCCTCCATGTTTCTTTTTTTCCAATTTCAAAATCAGGAAAACTAATAGTGTATTCTCAAGGCCTTAGTAATATACAGCCCTTTTTAGCAGGACTCATCAAATTATAGCTCAATTCAAGCTCTGATTTTCAGAATTTTGATTCTCCCTGGTGTTTTTCTTCTTCTTATAAAAAACCAATATCAATTTTATTTTTATAAAGTGAGGGCAGTCTGTTTCAGAACAAGGGATTCAATATTTTTAACATTTTGATTTAGAATAATATTTTATTTAATTGATATATTTATATGTTTGTCCTAGGAAAAAGAAATTTATCGCTGGCCAATCAAGGAATCTTTAAAAACTATGTTGGCTTGGGGCTGGAGAATTGAAAGAACAAGAGAGGGAGATTGTATGGCTCTTTACAATAGGACTCGTCGTATTTCTCAGACAAGTCAGGTAAGAATTAAAGCAATGGAATCAGTATTTATTTTAAAAGTAATTTTAACAATTAATTAATGGGTTCTTCAAAACAAATAAATTGAAATTTCTGAAGGCAGCCATCATAGGTTTGTTAGCTTAAAAAAAACAAGAACAGTTTAATTGGCACTTAATTCACATAGTATACAATTCAATAATTTAATCATAACAAGAATAGTAGTACAAATATTACTACAATAGATTTTAGAATATTTTCTCCTTTCTTGTACTTATTATTACCTTCCCATTCCACCACCCCCACCCCAATCTCCCCTGCCATAACCCCCAAAAAACAATCAATCCAGTTGCTGCCCCTAAAGTTTTTTCTTTCATTCTGATAAGATCAATTTACAATGTCCCAAGGAGTTCAGTTGACATATGAGATCTCACTTTTCCTCGCCAGCATATACATGAACAATTAATTTTAAGTTCCTGGAGTTTAACTAGTGAAAGGTGCAGTTCATTAATTCATTAGTTTTCTTCTCAATTCCAGCAAGAACTGAATGTTGTTCCTCAGGAGGAATGGGATATTCAGGCAGTATTAATCATGACTGAGGCCTGGATGGGTATCCCATACATATAGGCTTGGGTTTGTCATGTTGCAAAGGGGAGATACACAGCTTGACAGGCAGACCAAAAACTCAGAGCATATGTTCCTTGGCCATGTCAAGGAAGCCTGGTTAGCAGAATGTAGTTCTGACCATGGCTCTTCAGTGCTCAAGGTGTCAAGGGTAAGTCAGAGCCTTGACTCAGAGAAATTGGGTTCTAAGACGGGCACCAAATCCCAGATATAAATATTACTTACAGGGTTACCTGGGCTGATGACTGTTGCCACATCATTTTCTCCCAGGAACTAAACATGTCAGTATCCTTTTCCTGACAGTTCATGAGCTTGATTTACACAAAATATTTCCATTGAGTCACTTTCAACTCATAGCAACTCGATAGCACAGAGTAGAACTCCATTTTTGATACTGTAAATTGTTAAAGAAGCAGAAAACCTTTTCTTTTTCCAGAGGAACCACTTGTGGGTCTGAAATTCTGGCCTAATCCTCTGCGCCACTAAGGCTTCTTAAAAATAGTACACACTATCCTACCTAGATTAAATTTTGTTTTAATCCATTTAACAAATAGTAAGCATAGATTGCATGCTATGCAATAGGAATATACAGGTAATTCTAATGACTCACAAAATGAGTCATAAATAGAGAACATAAAATTAATCCTGATTTAGTATTGCTACCTTACTGCAGTTTTAAAGATGCATGGCCACAACTACACTATGTTAACCATACTTCCTTGTTGTGGTAACCATGAACATAACCTCTGAGTTTTGATGTCACATTGGTTATAGTAAAGAACATAATGGATTAATTGAAATCACTTGCTAAATTTATTCTGGAGCCTGATGTGCTCAGCCTCCTCTCGCTGTGTATTAAAGAGATTTATAATTCAGAGAATTAGCGATACAAAATACAAATTTGACCTGAGATTGGAGAGAAGGATGAGATTGGAGAGAGAGATGAGTCTGCTAAGGATATTACAGACATCTCAAAAAAGAAAGAATGAAATTGGGACAAAGACTGGAAGAAAGTGGACATATGAAAATAGCTTGGAAGTTGTATCAGTCTGGGTACTTTGGAGAAACAAATCCACAAAAACTCATGCATGAGAGAGTTTTATATAAAAGTTAACTGTGCATCAAGAAAACATCCCAACCCAGTGCTGCTCAAGCCCACAAGTCCAATATTCACCCATTAACCCATATGTCCAACACCAATCCACAAAGTCCTCCATCTCACAAAACAGAGGCAATGATGCCAACTGCAGGAGGAAAGCTGAGTCAGTGAATGTGTAAGCATCTCAGCGCTGGCAGGGGTCTCCACACGGGTGCTCCAGCACCCAGGGCTGCATCGGGGTAGGTCCATGTGGCTTCTTCTTGGGGATGTCTTGTAGGAAGTCAGTCTTGCAAGCTGAAGCAGGGAACTGCTAAGGCAGCTGCACCCTGGTACAACCGTCACAAAGCAAGAGACTCGAGAACTCGAAAGGCGAGGCTCACCGAACCAATTATCCCTCTGCCCTTCAATTAATCCCACATGTGTTTATTGGCCAGGTTGGCCCAATAAACTAACTAACTCAGAAGTAGAACAGACAGAATTCCCTAACAGTGGCTTTGGAGGATGAAACAGAGGTGCTGCCATGAATTGGTTTCCAGAGTGGGTGGTTATGTTAGCTGATGTAGAGAACACGGAAGTGTTGGTTATTGAGCAAGTGATACCAGTTTCCACTTCCAAGTTAATAATCCCATCGCATTGGAGGACAGTAAACCACCCTAAGTGTCAGAGATACCAAGGAACACATGAACAAGAGCACGATCAGTTTCCATATGTGGGCATCAGGCCCTCATGACCAGGAGGTCTTACCTTGTATCTGACAGTGAGATAGATGGTGGTTTGCTTACACCCCTTTTGTGCTTTAAAGCGGTCATTTTTATTCATTATCATAAACAAATGTAGGGCTAGCCAGGTGCCATACTGTACAAATGTTTAGCTATACAGTTCATGGGACTGTTGACATATGTTCAGGCCAAAGGAAAGGAATATTCTGTAGGCCACTGTCTGCTGTGGGATATATTTTAGATCCAGAAAATGAAGTATGAATATACTCTCAACCCACCTAAGAGACCATCTAAGATGATACATCTGGCCCTGAACACATGGTTCAATTGTGAGACTTCTCCCTTTACACTGAGAGACGGCAAGGGAAAATAATCAATTTGATTTTAAATGCTGTAGTAAATGGAATTGTGTCCCTGAAATCCTGAAATCTAAAACAGGTGTACTCACTTGGGTTCTGGTAAATTTTATAGTTTTAGTCAGAGAGAGATGCGACTACAGAAGGCTGCTTAGCGAGCTGCAATTCTGCTGACTTGGAAGATGGAGAAAGAGGCTCTGAGCCAAGGAATGTGGGTAGCCTCCAGAAGCTGGACAAGACAAGGAAATGGAAGATCCTTAGAGCCTCCAGGGAGGAAGACAGCCCGACAACACTTTTATATTAGCCCTCTTGGGACCCATGTTGGACAACTAACAACTATATATATTTTTATGCCACTTAATGTGTGGGAATTCATAATAGCAGTAATAGAAAACTAATACCAATAGAGCATCCATTTAAATATGGTAGTGATTAATAGTATCAGCATTGCTAAGGGAGCGATGTTAAAGTGACAACATTGATTTTTTTTAAAAATAATCATTTTATTAGGGGCTCATACAACTCATCACAATCCGTACATCCATCATTTGTGTCCAACACATTAGTACATATGTTGACTTCATCATTCTCACAACACCTGCTTTCCACTTGAGCCCTTGGTGTCAGCTCCTCATTCTTCCCCCTCCCTCCCCGCTCCCCCCCCTGAACCCTTGATAATTTATAAATTATTATTATTTTATCATATCTTACCCCATCCAACGTCTCCCTACCCACTTCTCCGCTGTCTGTCCCCCAGGGAGGAGGCCATATGTAGACCTTGTCATCTGTTCTCCCCTGTCTCCCTCACCTTCCCTCGACCCTCCCATTATCACCACTCTCTCCACTGGTCTTGGGGGCGTCATCTGTCCTGGGTTCCCTGTATTTCCAGTTCCTATCTGTGCCAGGGTACATCGTCTGGTCCAGCTGGATGTGTAAGGTAGAATTGGGATCATGGTAGTTGGGGGGGAGGAAGCATTTAAGAACTAGAGGAGAATTACATATTTCATCGTTGCTACACTGCACTCTGATTTGCTCCTCTCCTCCCCGCAGCCCTTCTGCAAGGGGATGTCCAGTTTCCCCCAGATGGGCTCTGGGTCCCCACTCTGCACTCCCCCTCATTCACAATGTTATGTTTGGTTTTTTTTCTTTTGGTCTTTGATGCCTGATACCTGACCCCTTCGCCGCCTTGTCATCTTACAGGCTTATGTGCTTCCATGTGGGCTTTGTTGTTTCTCAGTTAAATGGCCCCTTCTTTATCTTCCAGCATGTGGGACCCCAGATTCTGTGTAATTTGACACCTTGGCACCTTCAGCCTTCCTCACTGCATTTCCTTATGTACCCGCTTTATCTTCAGCATTCGTGTCCGGGTAGGCTGGTGTGCTCCTCCCTTGTGGGTTTTGTTGTTACTTAGCTAGATGGCCACCTGTTTGTCTTCAAGCCTTTAGGACCCCAGATGTGTATCATTTGATAGCCGGGCACCATCTGCTTTCTTCACCACTTTTGCTAATGCATCCCCTTTGTCCTCAGCAATCGAATAGGAGCAGGCTGGTGTGCTTCTTCCGTGTGGGTTTTGTTGTCTCTCAGCTAGATGGCTGCTTGTTTATCTTAAGGTCTTTAAGACTTGAGGTGCTATATCTTTTGGTAGCTGGGCACCATCAGCTTTCTTCACCACACTTGCTTGTGCACCCGTTGTCTTCAGCGATCATGCCAGGCAGGTGAGCATCACAGACTGCTGAATTGTTAGAACAGTATTCTTGTGTTGGGGGAGTACTTGTGCAAGGGCCCACTGTCCATATGTTTTCTTAATACTCAACCTATAAGTATGTGTACTTAGATATATTTCCCCCTTGTCATATAAAATATATTTATGTCTTTAGATGCCTGTATTTACATCTCTATGACTACCCTTTCCTCCTAGTTCTTTCCTCTATTTCTTTGTACTTTCTTCTTGCCCCATTATCATGTTCTGCCTTCATTTGGGTTTTAGGCATTCCTCTGGGTTACATTGCCCTTGATCCAGCCCTGCAAGGCCTCCCACACCCTCGTTGACATTGATTTTGGATCACTTGTTGTTCCCTTGTCCTTGTGCTTGTTTACCCCCTCTTCCTTTCCCCCGCCTCCCCTAACCCCATGCTCCCCGGATCTGTCATCCCGTTGTTCTCTCTTCTGGCTTGTTTATTCTGCCTATCCCTTCCAGGTAGACATGCTATGTACTATGACCAGAC